AACTCTTCTTCTTTAGACCTCTCATTAAGATGAATTGCATCTGTTGTCAAAACAATTCCTCTTTTTAACCCATTTCAGCACAGGCAGGATGAATGTCTTATTTTTAGTTTGGTTTTTTGGCTTAAGGGTCTGTTCTTCGAGCTTTTGCTTAATCCAAAGTAACACTTTTTTGCTAGTAATATCCTTTTTATTCCTTCCACTGTGAAGTTAATCGTTATCAAGGAGCATAGACCTATGAATTTCTTTACAATCACAAAGTTGTGGTTCTCAAAGCTAAAGTTTCGGTCAATATTTTTCTACTATATCTAGATCTGCTATTTAATATGGATAACATTACTTTTTATCAGCGATCAGGAGCGATCAAGTTTACACTGTCAACGATTGCCATAATTTGAATTGATGTACCTATTAAAAATAGTTCACTTATTGTATAACCCGGCCTCCCTCCAGTGATATGTTGAACAGAAGGCATGCCAGAGCATCTTCCGATCTTAACCTTAACTTAATTTCAAAATCTTGTGAAAAATCACCTTGTATTTGCTCTTTGAAATCCACTTCACTCATTGTCGATTTTACATGTATTATTACGCAGGGAAGGTAAAGTTCATTCATGACTTCATACGGTTTACATTTTAGAAAGCAGTCATAGGTTGATTTAAAATCTGCAGAAGTTGAAAATATTAATACTGATATTAACAGAACAGGAAACCTAATTTTAAGATTCTAAATTATATTACTCCCACATAGATCTTATCTTACTGTAAAGTAAAGGTTTTTTCTAATATTTTTCATTCTTATCACTTTGCGTTGCTTATTCCAATGTTCTCAGATTCCATCATTATTCCATTGCAAGAGATTTTAATATCAACGTTAATTCTTAAAATTTCGAACCTTTTCAGCACAACCAAATATCGAAGCGTATATGTATTTATTATACGAGTATAAGAGGACTTCCTCAACAAATATGTTTTTAACATACACTCAGGTGCAAAAAAATCGATCCATGGGTATTATTTGCTGAAAAAGAAAACGTTTGAAGTTATTAGTTTTAAATCAGGTATATATGTAAAAGTATATGTTAGATTAAAATAATTTTTACAGATTATCCAAAAATATCATTTATTTATAGACATACGCCAAAACTCAAAAATACAAGAATATTCAAAACTTTCTGAAATTAAGAAAAACATTGATAATAAATCAATATCTAGTGTTTCCCCCTCGGGCCCTTATAACAGCTTGTACACGTCTAGGCATTGAGGTAATTAACCACTGGATATCAAATTGATCCAATTGGTCCCATATTTCTTGAAGAGCCGCTGTAAGTTCAGCCAAGTTGTTTGACGGGGTACTCGTGCTCGAAAACGTCTTACCATCATATCCCATAGATATTCTATGGGATTGAGATCGGGACTGCAAGCTGGCCAGTTCATACGGACAATTCCCACCTCCTCTATATATTAGTTAACGATTCTAGCACGGTGAGCACGCGCGTTGTCGTCCATAAAAATAAAATTAGGTCCAATGAAAGGAGCAAAAGGTACCACATGCTGATCTAAAATACTTGTTATGTATATTGCAGAAGTCATAGAACCTCTATCTACAAATTAAATCAGTATGGGCTTCTGAACTGATACCAGCCCAAACCATATAACGATAACTTATTTTTTTCCGCAATATTACATTGAAAATATCGCTCTCCGTGTCTTCTCCAAACCCTTTCTCGCCCGTCTGGTGACCTTAGACAAAATCTGGACTCATCTGAGAACAATACATTGCTCCAATCTGCATCAATCCAGTTTTCATCTTGCAAAAGCAAGGTGAGCTCTGCGATGTTCTATGGATAGTATTGGAGATAGGGCTGGCCTTCTGGATAATAAATTACCTTCTATAAGTCGTCGACGAACTCTCCATCTGCTTACATCCACATTTCTCACTTCACTCAGACGATTTGCCAGTTCAATTGAAGTTAGATGCCGATTTCTCAAACATGATGAGACCAGAAATCGATCATCTCTTTCGGATGTTATCCTTCTACGACCTGATCCTGGTCTTCTTGTGAAGTTACTGGTGTCGCTAAAACGCCGAACTGCTCTTTGAACCGAAGATCGACTAACACCCAACATTTCAGCTGCATAATATTGGCTACGAACATCTTGAACTAAAGTCACCGCCCTTGCAGCATCTGTCGGAGTTAGAGACATTTAGGAAGGATAATTAAATAAAAATATAACACGTTTTGAAAATAAAATCACTACACTATTATGGTTGTTGAATTAAAAACAACATTCAATAAATATCTACTTGCTTCAGACCATTTTTGACAAAAACATGAAATACCAATTTGTTTTTAAGAAGTATAAAAAGCAATATTAAAAATATTATTTTATTTCTCGTATACGAGGGTACAGCTAAATTTACATACGTAATTTAATGTCTCTATACAACTTCAAATAAATAAGAAATAAGGAATGGATCGATTTTTTTGCACCTAAGTGTATAACAGACTATGCAGACTAGAAAATGACAAAGAAATGTAAATAAACTAAAATGTTTTCAAAATTAAACTACTAAACTTCTACTAAAAATTTTTAATTTTACATTGTTAATTTAGAAAAACATTAAAACAAAGAATATGTAAAGTAAAATTATTATAAAAATTTAAAGTTAAATACTGTGTCCAACATGGATCAATTTTTAACGTTTTTGAATGGAATCATTGCAAACTAGTTTTATGCATCGAAGCCATACGTATTCCTTCGCTTTTTCGTGGACGTAGGTAGCTAATTTTTGTTTTTCCACAATCAGACTATCTGTGTTAGGGGCTATTGCTTTTTTGGCATGCCAAGCAACCTTCTAATAGTCATCTGTATCTCATGTGGAATATTTTTGTTTATCCACCTCTTTTTATTTGTTTCTGCACTAATTTGTTCACTAGTTCTAATCTAAGCATAGGTACTTTTTTTATTTCTTTAACTTTGTAACATACGCATTGATTACGAACACTTTCAGAAGGAGAAAAAATCCTCAAACAGTTTTAACAAACACTCCACATCTTTCTGATTACAGTAGGATATGATTTACGGTTTATTAGTATTAAACCATTTTTGCTCTCAAAACATCGATTAGATTTAATGTCAGCAATAATGTGTAGCAATGAAGTTATCTGCATTAATATTACGATCGGTATTAAAAATTAATCTAGCGAGACGTAAAATAGCTTGCGTGGCTTTACTTTTTGTCATCACTGTCTACTCCAAATCCATCTGTCATTTAATTTGTACATTATTTAACTAACCGCACATCTGCGAGGCACTGGATTTTGAGTCTCATATTTTGCAGGTTTATTTGGCATATTTTAAACTGACACCTTCCCCGGAAGCTCATAAGCATTTTATCCACAGTAACAGATTGTCCAATACAAACAGATATCTGGTAGTAAAAACGTGATATTTCTCAAAAATAGGAAGACTATGATGGGCACATCTAGCAAGATCACAGCAGTACAACTCCCTAGATGAATCCTTGTCCTACGAATCCAAATCCCTATACAGCCGGTGAAAAGTAAACAGAGGTAGGCCCAAACATACATGGAAGGATAGTGTAGATGAAGATGCTAGAAAAATGAGTGTAGCAAACTGGCAACGGTTGGTAATGAATAGGACTGACTGGTAAAATAAAGTTGGACGATCGAGGCTCCATTATAGGGCTGATGATAACAGATTGTTTAAGACCATAAACACTTAAATATTCTATCTAATCTCTTTTTTTTTGCGTTCTTCCTGGTTCGCATAATTATCGAATCGTCAAGCTCCTTTTAGATCTGCAAATCTTCTTACTCGCCACCGTTCTTCCTGTTCCATCTGCAGCAAATATGCGATACAAATTGTCGTGGCTGTAACTGAATATCGCCGTATAAGCCAAAAGTCCAAAAACTGCTTTTAGTTGTATTATTTCAGGTTTTCTTACGTGGCGTTGAGATACAGTAGAATATTTTTCAGGAATCACTTTTAATTTTTTGTTTGTATGCAGAACAATATTTTCTAACTCTCGGTGATGGGCGCCGCCAGGATTATTTTCAGATGGGAGCATTTGCATCTACACACACTATTAACCAGTATAAAATATAGAACTATATATGTATAGCTATATCCTTTCTTTTCAGACAGGGGGTGCAATTGCACTCCCTTGCACCCTGCTGCCAGTCAGCGCCTATGCTCTGGGTACTCTTATCACAAATTTATATTTTTGAGATTTGGATGAGGTATATCACCTGTACATTTTCTTACCATATATATGTTTTCCGGAACGTTATCTCTATCACCATCACTGAAACAATCTTCAATATACCATTTTAAAAGAGTTCCTTCAAAATTGCTATCACCTACACGAACTGTTTTCGATGGACAAGCCATATTTTTAAAATCTTCCCCATGTCAACAAATACAAGGATGGTCCGACGTCGACTGAGAATTTACTTCTAAAATAATATTCAGCAGATGTCTGAAACCATTGTTGCCAAGTTTTATGACAATCTTATCATGATTCATTAGAAAAAGGAACACGTAGAACTGGAAATCATAAACTTTGTTGGTCGAAAAATATCATTTATTTATGAAACGTAGTATGTAAGATATCCTATTAAAATTGAGGAAGGTCAACGAGGTCAGATTGTAGGTCCTTATGGTCTAGGACAACCTAACGATCGAGGACAGAGATGGTATGAATTTTGTAAAGAAAATGATATGTATAAACTTAGTCCAGAAACTGAAGCATCTTAACAGGAATTGAGAAGTCCTTAGCAAAAAAACAAAACATTCCCAAAAAATTCTAACAACATATTGTAGGAATGGATAAGTAGTAAACCTTCAAAGGATTAAGTAATAATCATAAAAAGAAAAAAAATTAAAGAAAGAAAATAATGAAAAGAATAGAAGAAAATTAAATTTACATAGAAATACGCAAATTTGTTTGTTTGGAAAAATTAAAAAAAAACATCTAGTTATTTAACATATATTCAGAAGTGAAATTACATCCAATTACATTGTACCAGATAAAAATTGGAACTACATACTGCTTATTTTGTACAGATTTTCATGTCTTAAACATAATAAGAAATGTATAATACAAAAATTCTTAAAAATAATTAAATCTACCATCATTATGATCCCGGATATTCCTTGTATCAAAATAAGGGTATGGTACAGGTCTAGGTGGCATAATATCCAATTCGGGACCCCTTCCAGAAGATCTTCCCAATAACTGAGCAGGAGTTAACGAAGCCAATGACTGGTTTTTAGGAATTGCATCATAAAAATCTTCTTCTCTAACTTGTGTACTAACAGAAAAGGAAAAGGATGTAGGTGGGCACTGTACACCAACAGATTTAACTAGTTTTCTTTTCCGTTCATCACAAGATTTACATACATAAGGATCAGTTTGGATTAGTTTTTGCAGACGATTTTTAACATAGCTATTTGATTTTGTTACCTCAACTGGTTTTGGTTTTTGAGGGGAAACTATAGGAGCTGGAGGAGGAGAGGATTTGTTTTTAATACTAGCTTCACCATCTGAGATATGATCATCAATAACAATTACTTCCTCAGTCAGTCCTAGTTGATCCAGAAGTTTTTGTATATATTCACCAAACGCATTTTTTTGATTTGCAGGTGTAGGAACTTCTGTGAATGGAATCTTCAATTGAACACTCTTCTTCAAAGGAGATTGAAACTGTTCGGGATTGTAGTTTGGCTTGGGTTTCCTTTGGATCAATAACGGCCCAGAAAATTTATTTTCTCTTTGTTCCAGATACTCAATGGCGTCTTGACAACGTCTTATTACTGCAATCCAGTATATTCATTATGTAAAATATTAAAACATTCTATATAAATCAATACAAATTGTAACAATTGGCAAAGATTAGGAAACAATGACTACCTTTAATGACGAGTATAATGGTTCTCTTTTCTTAATTAGATAAAAAAAAACTTTAAAAACCTAAAATAAAAAACTTACCTTTTATTTTCTCTTTCAAATATTCAGGACTGGCAGCGTAAACTGAAAAAAAAAAAAGATTTGGATACAAAAATAGCATCAGCTTAAGATCTTAAGTCTGTTAGTTAAGACTATATTAAAGTTAATAAAAAATTTAATAAATGATAATACTACAGGAAAATAAGCAAAATTTAAGTGTGTTCAGGCAATAGCCAGGTATTTGATTAGTTTTTTTGTTAATATATACTACAATGTGCGGCATTAGTGACATTGAGTCCAATTACTCATTTGTCGTAATACATACAGACAGGACCATACTCTAAAAATATTTTCAAATATACAGAGCCACCCATATTGACGGGGTAGAACAAACTTATCATTTTTTTAATGGAACATCCTGTATATTTTTACATATTTTTGACTCTTATCGATGTTCTCGTTTTTTCAAATAAGGTTTGGCAGTGTTATAAAGTTGACACCATCTACCTATCGTCCGTCGGCGAATTCAAATAAAAATATAACTTCCAGACCATCTTTTACCATCTTTAGTCCAGACAAATTAATATATGTATTTAATGATTTTTTTTCACCAAAAATGAGATGTTTTAACCAAATAATGCTTCAAATATAATGTGCAGAATAATCTTGAATTAAGTAACGCTAATGAAAAGATTTGTCCTTAAAAGTAGAAAAAAGTTTTAATTATATTGCTTAGTATTTCGTCTAACAATTTTAACTGTACTAATGCCCAAGTATCAATTTTCAACTTTTAAACTGATTGATTTATGATGAGTACAAAAATAGTACAAATCCAATAATTACATCTGAAATTTTACATCTTGTTGAAGTTTGCATACACAGGGACTACTTTGATTTTAATAATCAAATATATACAAATAACAGTGCAGGACTTATAATGGGATATACTCTAAGCTCATTGCTATCAGATATTTTTGTGGATCATCTAGAGACAAAGATTTAAAAACATCCCGTATTTAAACAGTTTTTTTGTTTATTTATTTGTAGTTATTTGTTATTTGTATTTAAGAAACAGTGGCCTCTTCTACCATTCAGCCAAAGGTAGGAAAGTGTCACAAAAGTGCTTTATAAACACACCATGTCACTGTAAAAAAAATGTATTGAAAAATTCACAGAGGAAGAAAGAAAATGAATGTTTTGAATCATTTTGGAAGCTAGGAGATTTCAGTAAGCAAAATGTGTATATAAGGAGTTTGGTCTTGACTCACGCCATGAAAAGGAAGCGAATAAGAGATGGAAGTAGTATTAAAAAACATGTATCCTACTCCTACATTTTAAGGGATGGTGCTAATTCTCAAACGGTGTGCAAGAAGTTGTTTCTTGAAACTTTTCAGCTTAGTCATGGCAGAGTTTACAGGTGCATATCAAAGCCTCAAGTTAATGCTGTCATTGATTGGCATGGTAAAAATGCTCCAATTAATAAACTTGATGATTCTGAAATAGTGGCACATATAATCTCTTTTCCAGCTTATCAAAGCCACTACAGTAGGCAAAAAAAAATTCAGAAAGAAAGTATCTACATCCAGATTTAAATATTAGAAAACTGTATGATTTATACATTGAAAAGTGCAAAAATGAAGGAAAGCAAGCTTTAAAACAAAAGTATTACTATCATATTTTTTTCTACCAAGTTTCACTAACATTTTAAAGTTCCTGCAAAGGATACATGTAATCGATGTGACGAAAAATGACCCAGAATGATGTGGTAAATTTGAATTCGAACAGAAATTGCACTTGGCTAAAGCTTTGCAAGCTAGGGAATCTCTTAAAAATGACAAAGCTGCTGCATCAGACACATGCTAAGTTGCAACATTTGATCTACAAAATGCTCTCGCATATCCCAAGTTGACTACTTCCCTAGCATACTATAAAAGAAATATGTACGTTCACAATTTTGGAATCCATTCTTTTAATAATAATAATTGGTACATGTATTTCTGGAACGAAACAGAAGGAGGGAGGGGATCTCAAGAAGTAGCATCTATGCTGGCTAAACACATTAGACAAGAGGCTAAAAACCACAAACATTTTATTCTCTAGTCTGACTCTTGCACTGGTCAAAACAGAAATATTTAAGTTGCTTCTACCTTAATGAACTTGGTTCTTGATCCTCAATTAAGCATTGAAACAATCGATCATAAATTTTTGGTTTCTGGTCATTCGTTTTTACCTAATGACCAAGATTTTGGAGTGATAGAATCAGCATCCCGAAAGTGTATTCAGATATTTACACCTGAAGACTGGATGCATGTAGCCAAGACTGCAAAGATTAAGAAGTCTTTCGTGGTCATCAAAGTAACAACACCAGAAGTTTTATCTACCAAAAAACTTGAAAACATAATAAACGGAGGATGATGATCCTATAAAGTGGTTAAAGATGAGATGGATGAGGTATGAGCGGGAGAGAGCCTGGATACTGCAGTTTAAAAATACTTTAAACAAAGATTTTGACTTCTTGAAAGTAAACATGTCTACGAAAATTTCTCAATTTATTGAAAAGCAAGATCCGTTATACACAACTCAGAGAGATAGGTCACTGAGGCAAAGAAAAAGGGCATGCTTAGTCTTTACCATTTCTACCCTCAAATACCCACGCCCACTTTAAAAATCTTCAAACAGAAAGTTTTACCAGATCATAAACTTCCCAGAAAACAGACGAAGAACCAGGTTATGACGAACCTATTTTTGATAGCAGCATTTAAAGTGCAATTTTAAAACTTTTTTTATATTAACTTGTGAACTAGTTATTAAAACATAATAAAATGTTAGATGCTTAGTGTATTGTATTCATTTGATTGACCTTATAAAAAAAAAACAAAAATCAGAACCAAAGTGGATCAAGTCCAGTAATAATAAGATTTACAATTAACTTAACACTTAAAATTTTTTTTTATTTTTAAATTATGACTTATATTTAAGTTAGTGTTCATACTATAGCTATAAAGAAAAATTAATCTTTAAAACACTTTTGTGTTCAACTAGTATTACCTAAACTTTAACCTTCTTATCTCAGAACTATAATTTATGGAGTTGATCCACTTTAGCCCTGAGCGCCTCATATATTCCATGGAATACCAAAATCAATTAATCCAATTGGCTAAGAGAATGTATTATGACAAAAACTGAATTTAGATGAACTGTTGACATCAGACTTAATGCTTTTAAATATTAGAGATTTAACTGGTAAAGTCTTACAGTGCATGCAAAAGTAGGTACTCTTCACAGTAATTTCTACAGATAATATAATATATTTGAAATATAAATCACTGCCAGTCTGTTTAAGATATATTTAGTAAATATTTACTAGTAATTTAGTATTTAATGAAAATTGATCTACTGATTTATAAATCAGTAGATCAGCATATTGTTTTAAGCTAAATATTGGTTTTATTACAAAAAATTAGAGTAATTACATTATAATTATGGTGAACAATGTTACAATGGGGCAATCAGAAGACAAAAAAAATGCATTCACCTTAAGAATGAGAAATAAAATTATAACTAACCTTCAGGTTTTGCAGTAATCGCCAGAAAATCAGTCAAAGAAATTTTCTTATCTTCAAAAAGCTAAAACAATTTAAACGGATTAAATAAGTACCATGTTCAATAGATTTATGTCATTACTTTTTGCATGTTATCGTGATTATTACTTGATTCTTGAGGTTTTGTTGGGTTAGGATCCAGAAAATTATTCCCCATTTGTGGCACCTGAATATTGTTAGCTGCTGGTGGAGTATTCATCATAGGTATGTTAAATGAATTGGCAACATTTGAAGGAATCTCAGGTTCACCAATAAAGAAACTTTGATCATACCTCTCATACCTAACTGGAGTAGGATATTGAGTAGACAGTTGAGATGTGACTTGAGGGTACACAACTGGAGCAGGTGTAACTTGAGAAAATGCCACTTGAGATTTACCTGTTTCTACAGGCACAATTGAGTTTGCTACATGAGGATATACTGTTGGTAAAGGAGTCTGGTATACTATATTAACAGGCCTAGTTTCATTTAGTTTTTCAGCAATTTCTTGTAAAAATGATTTCTTTTCTAAATGTTTCCTTATTGGAGATCTAGATCGTCTATGTTTTCTAAATTCACGACTACGACTCCTACTGTTTCTATTTCTTTCTGTTCTTTTACCACCTCTATATAGAGGACTGATAGATCTACGCCTATTACTTCTAGCTGTATAAAAGGGTCTAGGACTTCTAGATCTTTTTCTTGGACTTCTAGATCTTTTTCTAGGACTTCTAGATCGTCTTCGATTTACTAATCGAGTTTTAGATATATTTTTTGGACTTCTAGGTGCATGATTTGGACTTTTAGACTTGGAATGCCCTACAAATCCATGAGTTCTTTGTAACTTTTTCTGTGACAAATTTCCATCCTTTGAGGAAGAACTATTTATTGATGTAGATTTCACAAATAATTTTTCTTGTGAAAGTTTCCGAGATATTTCTTCTTTCTTCTTCTGCAATGGTGAATCTTTTTTAATTTCAGGTATGTCCATTTCCATCTCCATTCCTGGTGGCACTAACCCTGTCTGAGACAACTTAACTTTCTCTGATAATATTTTAGTTTCCCTATCCTTTTTTTGTTTTGCTTTATCCATTTCTATGGCTCTTTTAGTTTTTTCTGGATCTCTTCTCAACTCCTGTGATTTTACTTTATTATCTTTAACAGTTAAGTTTTTATTTTGAGGTACGTCTATTTCAGTAGATTTCTCTTTCTTATTCTTCAATCTGGATTCCTGCATCTTTTTACTTTTTTCTTCATCCCAATCATCATCATCTACTATATCCAATCCAGCCATAAAATCTTCTTTTAAAAAATCATCGAAAAAATCTCCAGGGACATCATCGTCATCGTCATCATCGGCAACTAATAATTTTAATTTGTCTGAATCCTCTTTAGTTTTAGTTTTCTTAGGGGAAGGTTTGGGAACAACCTTGTTATCAGGTTTATTTTTATTGGATTCATCTACCTTTTTAACAGGCGATTCAGCCGCCTCATCTTTATTACGGGTGGGTTCACTTTCCTTTTCACTCGTTTCTGAATTTGATAATTCAGTAAAAATTAATTTATCAATTTTGTCACCGGCATTTTCATCAGATTTCTTTTCGACTTCCATATTTTTATTCCCTATAAACAACGTTAATACACACTATACAAACGGTACCACTCTTTTTTTTAATTATACTTAGAAATGTTAATATTTTACACACTCAAGTAAATAATTACAATTTTAACAAAATCTATAGCTATACACAAGTATCGCCATTTTTATTACGTTTAGTTTATGGAATCACCACCAGTCCACCACCACAGTGCCACACATTCTTTTTATTTATCTTTTGTTTTATTTATACTGTTTTTCTAATATTTAGAAAATTTACGTGAATTAATCTATAATATTAACAAAATCTATACACAAGTATTTCTATATTTATTACAACTTTCATTAGTTTATAGAACCACTACAAACAATGAATAATTATGTTACTATGAATGAAGGAAAAGGGAGTGATAGTGATATAAAGTGCGCCGTGCGCCGCCGTATAACGTATATAACTTCCTTAATTAATACGCGTTCTGTGATTTATGTATATAGTATGTATACAAATGTCTAATTAGCAAAACAACCATTATTATCTAATATGTATTATTGTTATTAATTCTGTGGACTGTGGTGTGGACCATGGTACAATCAGGTACAATGGTACTTGTACTTGTACTTTTATTCACTGTACCATTCACAGATCAGGAGGTAGGTGATCTGTGATCTGTGAATGGTACCATAGATATATAAATAACTACTAATGGAATGGTACAAATGAAAAATGAATACAAGTACAAGGTATGATCACAGACATTTGGCTGATGACCCAGCCACAGAATAATAAACAAACAGAATGCCCACTGTCCACGGAAAATTAAGTACGCGCATCTCCTTCGCGCAGACGTTCCGCCATGTTTTACGAGGATTTTAAAGGGAGCCAGTGTTGTTTATGTATTGTTTATTATTCTGTGTTTATGTGGTGTGCATGGAAAAAAAACCAGGTTTATTTGACTTACGGCAATCATAGACATACTATACAATTATATTAACAGTTTTAAATATAATAACATAAATATAATATAATTAAACATAAATGTAAACAATTGCATAACCTCACAAATCATATGTTTGTGTCCTCCTAAAACATGGCGCGCGTGCTGAAAAACTTCAAAGGCGGCATCTGAGAGTGGCCCTTCTGATTGTTTATTATTCTGTGACCCAGCCACAGAATAATAAGCAATCAGAATGCCCACTCTCCATGGAAAATTAAATACGCGCATCTCCTTCCTTTATGTGGTGTGCATAGAAAAATTAACCCGGTTTAATTGACTTACGGCAATCATAGACATACTATACAATTATATTAACATTGTTAAATATAATAACATAAATATAATATTGTTCTGAAGCTATTTTATTTATTCCCAGTTATAAATAGTAATTATAAATATAATATATTTAAACATAAATATAAACAATTACATAACCACACAAATCATATGTCTGTGTCCTCCTAAAACATGGCGCGCGTGCTGAAAAACTTCAAATGCGGCATCTGAGAGTGGCCCTTCTGGTTGTTTATTATTCTGTGTCTGTGTTTCCTTCTAAAATATGGCGCGCGTACTGAAAAACTTCAAAGGCGGCATCTGAGAGTGGGCATTCTGATTGTTTTTTATTCTGTGCTACCCATCGAGCAAAAAGATAAATATCTTTATAATATATAATATATAAATAAATTATCTTTTTGCTCGATGGTGCTACCACAGACACTACCAATGACGTATACGTCATTGGACACTACCAAGTCAAAAATACGTCATTGGACACTTGCACTAAGTCAAATATTTTGTTCCATAGTTGACATTTGCGGCTATGTTCAGGTTGCCTTATTTATTCGATTATAAAAAGTAAAAAGGAGAAAATAAAATGATAGGTTATAGAGTCGATTTGTTTACATTTTTTACATAAACATATTTTGTAAATTATAGTTCAATTAAAATATATTAGTAAAAATGCCTGTAGATATAAAAGAACTTACTGAAGGATGGCTGGAACTGGAAAGTGATCCTGGTCTTTTTACGCTTCTTTTAGAAGATTTTGGCGTGAAAGGAGTTCAAGTTGAAGAGATATACGATCTTAACAAACCTTTAGATAGTCCTGTTTATGGCTTTATTTTTCTATTTAGATGGGTCGAAGAACGACGGTCACGACGCAAAGTCGTAGAACAAAATGAAACATTTGTTAAAGATGAAGATATTGTAAATAATATATTTTTTGCTCAGCAGATGGTACCTAATAGTTGTGCCACCCATGCACTTATTTCAATTTTGTTAAATTGTCCAACTATACACTTGGGAGAGACTTTAATTAGATTGAAAGCACATACGCAAGGAATGAGCCCAGACAATAAAGGCTGGGCAATTGGAAATACACCAGAGTTAGCTTGTGCACATAATTCACACGCCATGCCACAGGCTAAAAGAAGGCTAGAAAAAGGCAGTGGGGTATCAACTGGTAGATTTACAGGTGAAGCGTTTCATTTTGTAAGTTTTGTTCCTATCGGTGGTAGACTTTTTGAGTTGGATGGGTTAAAACCATTTCCAATAGACCATGGGCCATGTAATGATATGGAATGGACTGACAAGTTTCGTAGTGTTATTACTGATAGACTGGGAATTACAGCTGATGAATATAATGAAATTAGATTTAACTTAATGGCTGTTGTACCCGATAGAAGATTAGCTATTCAACATAAGTTAAAAATGTTACGAACTAATAAGCAAATAGTTTTAGATGCATTGCAACATTTAGTTAAAATCAAAGATAAAGGAGGCGGTACTAAGTTAGAAAATCAAGGAGAACATGTTAAGATTTCAATATCCAACAGTGCTGAAGAGGTAAATATGCAATTGAAACATAATAAATTATAAAGTATTATTTAAGGAAATTATGATATTGTTGTCACATTTCGATATTGCAACAAATTTGCTTTGTTTTTCATAGTTTTTAATTTTTTAATTATATATACTCATATATCTATATTGATTGTTGGATTATATGTTTGACAATCTCTCTTGTCTTTCTTTTCTTTTTTTTTTTTTGTTTTCTAAGAAATTTTCTTTGCTATATATTAAAATTGACAGGGTTGTATAAAGATATTATATTTCTCAGCCTTTTTGTAATACCTATCAAAATTTAGTTAAATTTAATAGTAATAGTCTACTATTTCCTTTTTTTTTATTTATTTTATGATGTTCCTTACTTTTAATTTCAATTTGATAGTAAATGTCAGTGTTCATAAATTACATATACAAATTTTTCTACCATAAATATTAATTATCCTATACAATTACAGGCTAGTAGACTAAAAATATTCTTAGTTAAACATTTTTTGGATTTGAGACAGCATGAGAGAGGGGACGAAGAAATAGGAAATCTAACTCAGACTTTCCTCCAAACTATTTAAATTAAGTGACAAACACCTAGCAATGTGTTTTCATGTGTGCACTCATAACATGTGTGCACACATGAAAATTATAAAATCTTAACCACCAGCAGATTAAAGCAGCTTCAATATTTAAGTGAAAATGTAGTTATAGTGGAATATCAAACTATTTTTTGGCATGGAAGGTCAACAATACATCAGCTTGTCACTGTAAAACAAATTTTAATTCAAAATTGGAAGCTTGATATTGATGTTTCTAATACATATATTGTTCTTAAACAGGCCTATGACTCAGTAAAGAGCCAGTTACATAACATCTTGGAAAGCTTCAATATCTCTTTCAACATATATCCAACTAATCAAGGGAATACGATTTTAAAAAGCTGTTTGACTCAAGGTTGTTTTGCGATATGTTAACGAGAAATTTGGGTTGTTTCAGTTGCAAGAACAGGTTAGATTTGAAAAGGGTGTCATACATAGCTGGCCGGTATCAGGTCAGGGGGAATGAATTCAAGTTGAGGTTGAAATAGGTAACGCGAATGAGCAGATGTATTTAGTCAGTCGGTAAAGAAACTGACAAAATTTGTTGAAAATAGTAAAATATACTCTATGTAATATGTCAAATTTGGAAGAGTAAACACTATTTTCTGTTTCTAAGTATTTAAGAGATTTGTGTCACCTCCAGCAATTTTGATGTTCCAGTTTCCTGTTTGTTTAAGAAGTCTTGTCTGAAGTTTGTATCTAGTACTGCCCATTTCAATCCTTAATCTCTTAAGCAGCCGTTTCAAGATATTTTTTCACAGTTTGGAGATGCAGTTTTTGTGTGGCAGAGGTATAGTATAAGTCCAGGTCCTACCCCCAGGAATCTAGAGTGAGTGTGTTTAGTGAAACTAAGGTAACTTTTTTTTTGTTTTAAACTTTGAAGGAAAATAAATATTAAAATAATAATTGTTTTCATACAAGTTAAAATTTTGATATTGTAAATCTTAGGGCTTGGTCTTAGCTGTCATTTTATTTGTTCAGTTGTAAGATTTTATGTTGACAGCTAGCAGCTAGCTTTATTATTTTTGTGACATTAGTTTACTTTGTTTTTATTAAAAAGGTTAATCTCTATTATACATAGTTCATTTTTAAAGATATTTTTTTATTTGTAATGATTTATTTTTGCCACAGTTTTGTAATATCTCCCACTTTTAAAAGGAATTTGTAAACGAACAGGACATATGTAAGTTTTTTCTTCTTTATTATTTTGGTATAAATCTCTGTAAATATTAATATAGTATTTTTAATTTATTTCTCTAGATCATTTTTGTTTATTTAATTTAGAAAAATCCCCTAACCCCTTTGTGTTTCTTATTTTATGAAAGAAGAGCCTTTTTCCAATAAGACTAGGATCCTTCGAAGCATTGTCCCTGTTTTAAATATCTAGAGGCCTTTCTTGTTGTTGTGTTTGCCCATTTGTCTAGGAGATTTATGCAGGTACCCCTTTGTTTCAATTTTGTAGTTGCCCCAATTCAACCCACTTGCCATTCGCTTATCTATGACCCAGCTCTCCAAATAAACCCTGAGTGCTGTTCGCATGAGTTTCGTTTATTTTGCTTGCCCTATCTCTAACCCCAATTCACTATACTCTAGAGACTTCTCTCTACTCTAGGTTCATAATCACAGTTTATTTCTGCAATATTATTTTGATCACACTGTAAATGTAATTCAGTGCTGAAAAAAAGAACAAGAGGAATGCGCTGTAAAAGATGGATGGACAGTGTAAAAGTGGGTCTTAAAGCCATGGTCACCAGGCAGTGTAGAAAGAAAGTAGCCAACTCGACAGAATGGAAGAATATTCTGAAGCAGGTCAAAACTCACAGTTGTAGCACCAAGAGGAGAAAAAGAAGAAGACTGTGAAAGCACACACAAGTTTAAATTAATTTGATATTGTATAATTCCATCTCTTATTTTTATTAATTATAATTTTTAGCAATCTACTGAGGCATCTAAAGAAGGCCATTCTGAAGATGAATCAAGAAATTCCAAACCTGAGATAGTATCTGCAACCAGTAAAGTAACTCTATGTCCCCTAGATTATGCAACACCTTTAACAATCCAAACTTCTCCAGCTCCTAGTACTTCAGGCACTGATACTCCTTCAGATATTGGATCAGCTTTTAACTCTCCAACACAAACATGGAATTGGGCTAATTCTGCAGGAGGTCAAAATAGTCCTACATCTAAAGATTTGAAAAGGTTTGTTGTACTAAGAATGGCAGAACAGGAAGATAAGGAGAGAACTAGTAAGTATATAAGATTTTGTAGAGTTTACATAGAAGTTTAGTTCATTTTAAGCTTATGGAAGAATCAAATTGTTTAATTGTCCAAGTTTTTACTTGTAGAAATCAAGCTTTCATCATCATCATTATCAGTGGTGCTAGATGTAGCCTGATAATTTTTATTTGCTCGTGACACATGTCCAGCCCATCTAAGTCTACCTATTTTTTTGAAAGCCCATCTCTTGCCATTTGACTCCGCTCATCATCTACAATGACTGAGCAAAGCTTGGTAGTTCGGTTCACTGTTATGGTACAAATAAGAAAAATGAGGATAGTTGTCACGATTGTTGTTTTTAGGAGTTGTATGTGGGCTTATCTTGCATTTTTTCATGGAACACTTTTCAAAGCTCTCTGAATATATTTTCGTGGATTTAATCTTCACTAGAATTAACTTCACAAGAAGAAGAGAGTCTCAGGTGTCAGACCTTGAAGGCCAGCTGTATGTAACTGTCAATCCTGGAGATAGAAAAAATACAGGAGACCAAAGCGCTATCTGAGCTGTAGGGTCAACAGAAGCAGTGAGAGAACATTATTTTGCATGCTGTTTTGGAGTAGTGGAATGCAAATTAATTGTTGATTATAGTAAATAATAAACTTTTATTTTAGTTTCCAGATCAAATTCGGAAAATACTGAACGAAAATCAAGTGGAGGTCATGCTAGAGTACACACTAGTGATGGAGATCCAGTTGTAGCTGAAAAAAAGAATCAAGAATTGTTAGAACCTCATACATTTGCCCCAAAAGATCTTCTAGCATTATTACGAAACTTAGAAAATGAAATTTGTATGTGTGAAATGAGTCTAAAAGATGAAAATGATAAACAGAATAAATATAAGGTGAGTGTTTTAGCATCATATTTTTTTAGATTGTGGGTAAATAAGTTTCATAAAATTAAGTTTTTTCCTTGTGAGATTTAATCCATGTGTACAATTTTGCACGTGTATATATTTCTTGGGGGCTTGTACAACATTGCCCTTTTTTTCTTTGCATAACGTTACAAGATAGATATGTTTGAAATATTTAAATATTTGATATTTATAGTTAATTGCATTCTTTATATAGACTACAGTTCCACCGGATTTATCAAAATTAACGTTGTTATGAATCATTTCATATTCTTCTTTCGTAAAAATATTTGCATCAAAAGCAAATCAGTAAGTTAGTTTTATTTTAGGTAGATGACAGTCGCAGAACTCATAATTATGATGAATTTATTTGCACGTTTTTATCTATGCTTGCTGAACAGGGAAAACTTGCAGATTTAGTGGAACAAAATCTTGTATTGCCAAAAAGACCTAACAACTCGACACCAGTGCCTAAGCCAACTAAAAAGAAAAAAGACGGTGGGAAGAGAAAGAAGAAAGGACGCTCAAAAGTTAAAAAACGAAGATAAAATGTTATTTTTTCTCTATGTGTAGATATTTATATAAGTACATGAACTCATACTAAGCATGCATGACATTATATAGTTCTATTTTTTTTATTGTGTTTTATTTAAATGATTATCAATAGCAATCTGCTATTGATAATCATCAATAGCAATCAAACATGTGTCAAAGTGTGAATATTCTAATGAAATAACAAATGACAATGTGCTACCCATCGCCAGTATAGAGACCTTTTTAACACTGAATTTAATATCAGTTTATGTAACTAAAAAACACTGAAAACTTTGTTTTCAAACTTCCACAAAATTTATTTTAACTTATCACTACAGCTGTTTCGGCTGATTGCTTTAGGTTGAGGAGGGGAGAACTGTTTGTCTTAAGTTAGTCATTCAGAATTATATCTGTGTTTTTTAATTTGTTAATTTCCATAGATTATAACAAGGATAGCTTAAGGCCCTTATTTTGAATGTGAAGAATTTTAAATTCGTCATTAAAAGAATGATTGTGATCTAGAAGGTGAAGTGCGTATGTAGACTCTGTTTTTCTATTATTAAAAGCCCTTTTATGTTCTGCTATTCGTTTATTAAAGTTTCTACCAGTTTGACCAATGTAAGTTTTTGGGCAGTCGTCACATTTAAGTTTGTACACACCACTGTGTAAGTGTTTTTTTATTTTGGCTCTTGTTGTTTTTGATATATTTTCCTAGGTTGTTATTTGTTCGGAAAGCTGGTGTTATTCCTTTCTTTTTTATGTGTTTGGCTATTTTTGTGGATATTTTGCCTGTATATGTAATCGAGCAGAAGGAAGCAGAAGTATTATAATTATATTATTAATTTATAAAAAAATGTTCGCAACCAACAACACACATAAACCTCAATGACACATTCAGAAATGGATACTAATGAACGGCCCATATCTGCACAGAATAGTGGGTCAGGCTCTAGACGCTAGTTATTCTGTGTCTCTGTCTGCTCTTTGACTTCTTTGTTAATTGTCAATGTCAAGTCCAACTTAAAAGCTAAAAGTGTGGTTAAGGTCTAATCTAATGTGTTAAAATCACAAAATAAATTTCATGGCTTTTAGCGCCAAATTTGATAAAGTTATTCGAATATCTTCAAGTATTGCGTCCCATGTGTGGAACGGGTAACCTATGGTATTAGTTTTTAATACGTATTTATTAAATAACGTTTTATAGATTTTCGACCATGGCTACAGGCGCTAAGACACCTCGTATTCTTAAAAGAATAGGTACTCATAGTGGCGTTTTTCATTGTGATGAAGCTTTAGCCTGTTATATGTTAAAACAGTTACCTGAATATGCGGAAGCAGAGATTATAAGAACGAGGGATCCGAAGGTAAATTGTGAATTTGCAGTGGTTTAAATACTATTAAATTCATTTAGATTTTAGATGAATGTGACATTGTAGTAGATGTGGGAGGAGAATATAATCCCAAAAAACATAGATATGATCATCATCAAAGAGGTTTTGAAGAAACTATAAGTACTGTACGGCCAGATCTTATAAAAAACAAATCTATAAAGTAAGTTTTATTTTAGGGTAAATGTGCAAATTGCATTATAGGTCATTGTAAGTATGTTTTCTGCAAAACTATTGTTTTATTAATCATCAAATTTTTTATAATCATAGGTGCTTGTTAAAATCTCCAAGTTGCCCCAAATGTAGGCAACATGCAGTTTCTTTTTGCAGCATTTGGAGAGATATTCACAATGGAATATTGCATAAATCTCTGCCAGGAAAGCAGAGGTATATTCTTCTAGTGGAATAGAAATGTTTTACAGACATTTTCACCACTACTGAATATTCCTAGACTTGATCCTTCTACAGTTTTGGACCTATCTGTACCCTGCAGCTTGGATTGTGTATCCTGTGCCCCATTTCTCTTTTGGGCATTATGTCCACTTAACAAGATACTTTAGGACTGTATATGGGTACTATATAGTTAGAAGTTATCATCCATTTGGTATCTCATATCATTTATGATGTTACTACATCCTGATCAAACTATTATGTTGTTCAGGTTTTCTCACAGTCTTTATCTGATTCTCATTCCCTCTCTTTGTAACAGTGTGTAGAAGATGAAGGTCCAGCAGCCTTTATAGCTGCTATTAGTGTGCTCCCAAGCAGTAATTGTTTGTTTCTTTTGACTACAATTATTAATGTAGTTACCACTCACTTGTTTATTCATTCGGCTGATTCCAAGTAAGCTTAAAGTCTAATATTAACCCATAGTACTTTACTTCACTAACCAGATTTAGATTTGCACCATTTAGGCTTGAGGGATCCAATCCCTCTAAATTTTGGATTTTGGACTTGTGAGGTCTTATGTTAAGTGTACATTTGAAGTCCATTCTGTAATTTCAGTGAAAGTCTGATGATACCTGCATTGTATACTTTAGCAAAAAACCCAAGGAGTCAAAAAATGATGTTGGGGTTGACTTACAGATGGTGAAGGGATAGTAAGATCATTATAAACTTACCCTTAATACAGATAAATCAAGTTATATGGTGATAACAAGGAGAGAAGAGTGGCAACAATTAATGATAGTACTTGAACCAAGGCCTTTACAAAAAGTGGAATATATTAAATATTTGAGACTTTACATATTGACCATAGAACTGCAACCTTATTCCGGGCATAGTGCAGGCAATAAACATTGATGTCTTCAAATGAAAATTAAAAAATCTAATTTATGAGAACCATTTTCTAACCTCACACTAACATTTTTACATTTGTTTATTTTTTGTTGTTTCCTTTTTTGTATTATAAATTAGTTTCAAGTTTTCTTGCTGTTATATAAATATCAATAATGATAATATCTGTACACTATATATAAGTTGTTTCCATGTTAAAGATATTATATTAGTGATTGTATTAAATACTTTTCTAATTTGACCCACATAGCCATTGCTCAGAGTCTGTAATTGTATATTTAGCATTTTTTTATAAGTGAAATTTTTACTTTCATGGAATCTTCTTCTTCTTCTTTCAGTGCCCTGTCTGATTATCAAATGTTGGCGATCATATTGGCAATAATAACCTTATTCACAGCGGCTCTAAATAAATTAAAGGTGGTTTCTTGATACCATTCTCAGAGATTTCGTATCCAGGATGTTCTTCGTAGGCCTGGGCCTCTCCTTCTGTCAATCTTACCCTGTATTATGAGGTGTAGAAGGTTATACCTCTCTGGATGTCTCATTACATGACCGAAATATTGTAACTTCCCAATTTTTATCGTTTTTGTTATTTCTGTGCTCTTTTTCATTCGATGTAAAACTGTTTCATTTCTTATTCGATCAACCCAACTTATCCGCAATACTCGTCGATAAATCCACATCTCAAAGGCCTCTAATCTTTTCATTAATGTCTCTGTAAGGGTCCAGCTCTCCATACCATACAGCAATGTGGAGAATATGTAGCAGCATATTAATCTGATTTTAAGATTTAATGTAATATCTCTATTAATTAGAATTTTCTTTAATTTATAGAAGGCGGCTCTGGCTTTTTCAATGCGTATTCTTATTTATTTATTTATATTCCAGTTATCGTTAACGTTTGCACCCAAGTAGGTAATATTGTGGACTCTTTCTAACTCTATTCCATATGCTCTGATGTTCGTTGGTTGTAACTCCGTTTTGCTGACAACCATAAATTTTGTCTTAGAAGTATTAAGTTTTAGCCCATATTCATCACATGCTTCAGCTACCCTATTTATGAGTCGTTGCAGGTCTTCTTCATTGGAGGCAATAAGTACCGTATAGTCTGCATATCTGAGATTGATGACATTAATTCCGTTGATTTTAATGCCTGTATCTTCAACTAAGGCTTCTTTGAAAATAAATTCGGAGTAGATATTAAAAAGTAGTGGCGATAGAATACATCCTTGCCTCACTGGCCTCATTAGCCTCATGGAATAAATAAAAAATATCAACTACAATTTCAGAATATATTTTCAAAGTTAATTAAAATCTTTTTATTTTTCCGTGCTAGTCCTTACTGTTATGTTAAAGTATTCTTTGTTAGCCATGGCTTTCTAATTTATGTTTTCTGGTATGATACTTCCTATTTTTTGCCAGCTCTTCCCTTTCCTGGGAAGAGCTGGCAAAAAAAGCTCCAATTTGCTTTAGTTTTTTCATACATAGTTAGTTACCCTCTTATTTTTCATTAAATTTTTTTAATTCATATTTTGTAATTAATTTAATAATTTTTTAATTATTAATTAATTAATAATTTTGTAATTAATTGTAAATTAGTTCCTAGTATTTATGCAACTAATAATAGTTTGTATTAATGTTTGTAGTGTATTTATAATAAAAAATTAGCACTGTTTCTCGTTGAGGTCACATTTGATTTGATGTTTCATATTGGATGAATATATTAATTCATAATCTTAATTTTAGGTTAAGTTCTGCTGGTTTAGTGTATGCTCATTTTGGTTTTGAAGTATTAGACGAGATTTTAAAAAAGCAAAAAATATCTGCAAATACTGAATGCCTTAGATCTATTTTTGTTTTTATTTACGAGGGATTTGTGGAAGAATTAGATGCCATAGACAATGGAGTTCCAATGTTTACTGAAGGTAAACCAAAATATAGAATAAATACCCATTTAAGTGCAAGAATACACAGGTTAAATCCAGAATGGAATTCTCCAAATCCAATTCCTAGCAATGAAACTTTTTTTAAAGCTATGGAGTTAGTAGGGACAGAGTTTAATGAAAGAGTTATAGATGTAAGTTACAATACATACTAATGCATTTTTTATAGATAGATTAACAAATAAAATGAATCACTAATATCTAGAAGAAATATGCATAGCATGGAATTTGCCATTCTTGTTATTCAAAGCAGGATGGATTAAATAAAAGGAAACTGACAGTATTATGTGGCAGAAAAAATTCAATGTTACTGAATTATTTTAAGACCATATGATGTATGTTATTGAATGTTTAGAACAATGAATACATGCTTCAGAAAAATGAAATATCAAAGTGTGAGTAGACAAGCTTAGGTTAGCACACACTCATAGTCAAAGTGTTAATCACAATACAAAGAATAGCTGAGTATCACATTCTGTGCTGCTCATCTGCCAAAAAGACATGATAATTATAAATCAAAAACTTATGTGTCACATTTGCAAATACAGCAGAATAAAACACAAGGGAGCATAGTAAATGTGCTTTCTTATTGAAAAATTTCAATAGGTTAAGGATTTGTCTTGAAATTCCTCCCGTAAAGGGGTATAATCAAGGAGTGTAGTCCAATAACTGCTTGTCGCTATATAACGTCAATAATCAACAATCTGCTCATTTCTGAAAATTGAATGACCTTGATCTGTAGACACTTTAGTTTTAACAATATGATGAAATATGTCAAAAAGGCTGCCACAATCTATGAAGGATGTATTTAGTGAGTAAATCAGAGGCATAGATGACCTTAAAAAAAACATTAGATACTACTTTGCATACATACTCATATAGGCACTAACTTATACAAAAATTGTTTGACATGTAGCCCTCCTGTAAGTTTGTTAGTTATAAATTCTTGTAATTTTTTTAGAGTGCAACTGTTTGGTGGCCAGCTAGAGAGATTGTAAAAAAATCTATACAAAACAGAGAAGAAATACATGAAAGTGGACAGATAGTTTTACTAAACGAAAGATGTCCATGGAAAGATCATCTCCTGGCTTTAGAAGAAGATTTGGGTATTTCCGAACAAATTAAATTTGTTATTTTCCATGATGCTGGAGATTCATGGAGAGTACAAGCTATACCCATTCAACCTGATAGTTTTATATGCCGGTAAATTAACACAATTCTGATTTAGGTTAAGAAAAAAATAATAACAAATTTATCATTGCTAAACGCCGTACTAATATTTACTTATCGATAAGAAAATTCAACAAATTTGTTTGAATTTGCTGTATTTTCGTAACATCTTGTGTTAAATGCCTGATGCTAGGCTTTCTGAGCACATATAAGTTCTTTGATAGATTTTTACTCAGATAGTCAATATGTTGACTCCATTAAAGCTTTAGGTCCAGTAAAGTTGTACTTCAAGGAACTTCACACTGGTCACATTTGCGTTTTCAACCTGGGTGTCTCTAAGAGCAAAAACAGCCCTATTGGCCTTTGCTTCATTAAGCAGGAGCCTGTTAACACAGAATTGCTCTTTAGTATCCGACAGTGTAGGTCTAGAACCCCTAAAGGGGTTGTCCTCGAGTGTAGCAGCTGAGAAGAAGACTGTGGTGTCATCAGCAAAGAGTGTGTATGTAGCATTTGATTCAATGAGTATAAAGTCATTATATTGAAAATAGTATGGATCCAAGGACGGAGCCCTGAGGAACATCAATATTGACCTGGTATAACTCTGCAGTCTGGGTCTAGTATTTTCTAGGGCCCATCACTCTCGAAAAATGTTAATTTAGAAAGGAACTTTAGACCTTCATCTTATTACCATATGGTCAGAAATGATCATTCAGTATCTCTGATTTCATTTATGATTTTGCTCTACATTTTAAGTTTTATCACAGTCTATAATATCCTATTATCGCCTTCCCTTTATAACGATGTGCAAAGGAGGGAGCTCCAGTAGGTCCTCAATAGTTGCCGTGAGTGCGTCCCTCATAGCCCCTGTGATTCAAAGGCAAGCAAGACTTAACATCTTGCTTAATTTCTGAACCGTTGGACTTGATGGATAAGTAATTGTTGGTTTCACCTCCATATTATAAATCCAATATTAATCCAATATTCATGTCTAAGCGCGTAAAGAAAGAACTAAATAAAGAAATAAAGCGGGCTAAACGCACATGCTGGCAGAACCTGTGTGACACGCTGGACAACGATATATGGGGTGAAGCCTATAAAATTGCCACTAAGACACTGAGGTCCGAGCCTCCATATAACCTTTGTGTAGAAAAAAGAAAGGAAATTGTGAAAGCCCTTTTTCCTAATAAGCCCGAATGCCAATTTCTACCATATACTCTAGATAATAGACCTGACGAGTTCACCATAGATGAAATAAGATTAGCTGCCGAAAACATAAAAATCGGGAGATCCCCTGGCCCAGATGGTGTGCCACCAGAAGCCATACATATTATGGTACAGGAAAATCCTGAAGTCACCAGAAAGGTATTAAATGAGCTCCTACACAACCAAGAATTCCCAGACCAATTGAAGATTGCAAATTTAGTCTTAATCTTAAAACCTGGTAAACCACCAGACGGGCCTAGTTCATACAGGCCTATATGTTTATTAGATTGTATTGGGAAATTCTATGAAAGCCTCATAAAACGCCGCCTTGAACAGGAGCTCTTAAACACAGGAGCTATTTCTGACCAGCAATACGGTTTTAGAAAAACACGGTCAGCTATAGACGCGGTAAAATTTATATGTGATACAGTCAAACAAACAAGAAATAAATGGGCAATCCTTGTTATGTTCGATGTAAAGAATGCCTTCAATTCTGCCAATTGGGCATACATCATAAGGAAACTGGAAACCGCTGGAGTGTCAGACTACCTAATAAATATAATTAAAAATTACCTCACCGACAGATATATTAAAGTGTCAAAAAAAGAAAAAACAAAACTATCGGCTGGAGTACCGCAGGGTTCTGTATTAGGTCCAACGTTGTGGAACGTCTTGTATAACACAGTATTGGAAATAGATTACGGCAGAGGTACGTCAGCAATTGCATATGCAGATGACTTAGCAATACTAATAGAGGGTGACACAAACTTGGATGCAATAAATAAAGTTAATATGTGCTGGAGAAAAGTTAATAGGTGGATGACAACTAACGACTTACAGCTGGCGTGTAATAAAACAGAGATAATTATATTAAAAGGGCCTAGAGCGATACCCAACCTGACTTTCCAATTTGCAAGTACGACGATAGTTCCAACCAATTGTGCTAAATATCTAGGCATACACCTTGATACAGGTCTACGATTTACCAAACACCTGATAAATGTAGTCCAAGCAGCAGAACGCAGAACAGCGGCCATTATGAAAATAATGCCTAATATAGGAGGGCCAAGTAATTATAAAAGAAGAATGTACTTGCAAATAGTGCATTCGACCCTTTTGTACGGTGCCCCCGTATGGATTGAAGTCTTAAGGTTTGCCAGGTACAAAGACTTGATTACAAAAGCTCAAAGAAAGCCCCTTCTTAAAGTAGTTAGTGCGTACCGGACTACATCTACGATAGCCTTACAGGTGATTGCGGGTACGCTCCCCATTCACCTCCTAGCGAAAGAAAGAGCCATCCTATACAATAACGGCAACGGCCACCTGACACAGGTAAGAGACGAAATTAGGAACCAGATCCTTGATGAATGGCAATCTGAATGGGGGGCACAAAGGGAAAAAGCACAATGGACTAAAATACTAATACCCGATGTAAAAGCATGGTACAAATGTAGGTTCAAGAGAATAAACTATTTCTTTGCACAATTCCTGACCGGACACGGTTCTTTTAGGTCGTATACATACAGAATTAAAAAAACAAATGACGATATCTGTATGGATTGTGGTGTGACTGATGACGCGGAACATTGCATTTTCGAATGTAATGTCTTTCTACAAGAACGTCAAAGACTGAGAATTAAGCTAGGAGAGGTCACGCCCAATAATATACTGGACTTAGCTATGCAGAACAGAAAGAACTATGATTATGTGTTAGAAATAATAACGGAAATCATAAAAAAAAAGGAGACGCTAGAAAGAGCGAGACAGGATGAAGGAATAGGCTGAAAGACTAATAAAATAATTGTAATTCGCGTTTTTTTTTTGCTCATTAGACACATACTTCAGCGTTCTGTACTAATTTTATAGTGTAACTGTCCTATTTACTTACTTATATTGTTTTTTATACTGTCATTATGTCACTCAGCTACCTTTGAGACTCTCTACCGAGGACAATACTAGGTTTTCGTGAAAATTGGAGACCGCGGTGGTGCTCCCGAAGTTGCATTCGCCAAGAAAAGTTCCGGGTGCGCTGCTGGAAGAGAGGGTGAGTTTAGTTGGTAGGCGCCTGAACTAACCTTATCAACATTCCAACGTTATAGTTCAGACGAATCCAACAGTATCTGGGACCTCTTCCCAGATCTCTTTAGAAGATTCTCATCCAAAAAAAAAAAAAAAAAAAAAAAAAATATTCATGTCTGGTTTTAAACCCCACATTTTTCAAATGGATCCCTCTGCAAGATCACTTCATACATATTAACGTAGTTAATCAAACTCACACTGTTACATACATTTAAGAATAGGAGAATACGTTGATAATAGGTTGCTAGTCAAAAAGTGGCCGCAAATATTTTTATTAATTTTAATTAATTTTTTAACAAAAATTTTATTTCGTTCATTAATTTTTTAAATAAAATACGCTGCTCATGACATACATGCATGTTTTTAGAAACTCATATAAACGACATTAGCCACGTCAAACCAGTGGCGTTACGCGATGCTCTCTTTTACTTTAACTTCTTAACATTCTTAAAATACCTTTTAAAATTTGAACTCAATGTTTCATTAGTTAGGCTTCGGTCATTAGTTAGGCCTAGTGAAGGTTTATACACCATTCAACCATTAGACTTTTTCTATTTTAGAGTTTTTCTACATAAAGATTGGCGAGGCGTTCGCGATGACCAACTCAGCAGTATATCAGGCATAAAAGACTGCATATTTTGTCATGCAACCGGCTTTATAGGAGGAAATAAGACAAAAGAAGGAGCGTTACAGATGGCGTTACGAAGTTTATCTGCCCCTGTTGGAGATCAGGAATAAAACTTAAAATCAAAATCAAAACTGTGTTTATGATTATCTAACTTTGATTAAATTGTAGCAAAATAAATGTAAAAATGAATGTAGTTAGCACTTTTTGGGTTCTTTTTGTGTAGGTTTTATTAATTATAAGCGCAGTTCAACTTTTTAACTCAAAATTACACTGATTTTAATAAATTAATTTTTAACCGATGATTGTGTTACTTATTATTATAATTACGAAGAACTGCAGATGATTAGGACTAAAATAATGAATAAAAGGCGACAAATGAGGTACCATACATATAAATATATAGAAATTGATAAAACTGTCATAAATTCACTCACAAGGATCTATGGAAATTATAAAAAATTAAATTGAAAAAGAGATGACATCTGTAGAAAACCTGTAATAATAATAATAAGGCCATGCAGAAAGCTGTACTCCTCGCGACGTCTAGATGTACACGAAAATTTTTGGGAGACATTCCAACATACCAAGTCAACGAAGACTCAATAACACGGAAAGAGTCCCACCAGAGTTCAATCCTTTTGATACCGTAGGTATCTGGGATGAGTAAATTTTCCCCTTAGAGTGAGTGTGAGCCGTATGGCTAAATCTGGATAATAATAATAGTGTATGGCTTTTTTTGCCGGGGAGATCCTTTCAGATTGGTCCTGCGCCAATTGCATCTTCAACCCTGTTTCAAGTAAATAGTGTCGATGCACACTAACTCGTATCATTTTTAGAAATGAAAATGTCGTGCCAAGATTCGAACTCGTGCGCTCTGGCTTACAAAGCCAGTATCTTACCGCTGAGTTACGGCCGTCCACAGAAAAACTGTAATATAGTGGTAACTAGTGGATTGGTAAGCTTTTTATATAGGTTCTATAAAGGCCGTCGATTGCAACAGAAAATATATTCTATGTCGTCATGTCGTTCATAACCATTATTTGTGAAAGCATTCCAATCCTTGGAAAAATACAAATAAATTATATAAACATTAATAACTCTTGTTCTTGTAGTATATTACAAAAACAAAATGGCTTTCATGCAGGCAGATCTTGTATAGACGGTATATTTTTTCTAAAACAGGTTATTGAGAGAGGATTAGCCACAACCTTTTAAAATCATAGTTTTTAAAGATCTGACAAAAGCATACGATAGTGTAACACTTTCAATGCTCTAGGTAGCAATGGAAAAACAAGGAACAAACAAAAAAATGTATAAAAGCAGTGCAACAGTAGAAATTTCTAAAATAAGTTTGCTCTTTAGCACCTACCCTCTTCAATATATCTGAATGAGACGGTTCCAATGTGGAGAAGGAAAAACTCCAATATGGGCATCACAATCGAAGACGAGCTATTGTACACGATACACTTCGTTGAAAACCAAGCCATTCTAGCCGAAGACGAGAATGACTAGGGGAAGGGTGTACAAAATGACATACATTATTAAAAAAACCAAAAATTTTACTTAAAGAAAACATTTGTTTAAACAAAACTTTGATAGAACAAAAAACTAAAGTATTTGAATCTTCAGACAAGTTTTTAACATAAAAGCAGAAAAACTTTGAGCCAGAAAAGTTCATTTTTCCCCACCTGACAGACAAAATGACACATTAATAGCGATTGATATTATTCAGTCGGTACAAAGCTCACAAACAAACATTTTTGTTTTCTTGTCTAGTCCATCACACTCAGCATGTGCCCACTTTTGACACGAACAACAGCATAGCCATAGATCACCTTTTTAGACAACTTTTATAGTAAATGCAAGCAGCATCATCATTTTCTTCATCATCTTTCGTTTTCCAACTCGCATTCTATAAAAACATTCTCTTTTGACATACTTGTGTAAAACGATATACTGTGCCATTTTGCCCTCTACACCCCTATGTCATTTTACCCCACATGAACTTAATTTAAAGAAATACAATTTTTGACAAAATAATAACTTATTAATTAATTTGAGATAGGAAAACAATAATCATCATAATTTACCATAGATATTTAAACTTATGGGTTTATCGCACTAAAAACATACAGCAGATTTTAATATTTCTCGCTAAAAACTTTCCGATGCCAAAAATAAAATAATCGAACGTGCTCCCACTCTGACCGATGAAGCGCAACTGAATGCAAACTAGCATATCTGGTACCTACGCCACAATTATCGTTTCTGAGCACTCTTGAACAACGAATTCGGTAGGTACAAGCACTGTCATTTTGTACAACCTTCACCTATATGTTCAGAAAACTGGAAAAGGAATACACCAAGTGGGGCTTTACAATTGATATAAAAAAAAACAAGCGCTTAGATGCAGGGGAAAAACCAGAAAGCCTACAAATTCAAATGAAAACTATAAAGTGAACTTAAATCTTGGAAGTCTACATAACATCAAAAGCGGGGAATAACGAAGAAATACATTCCAGGATTGCCCAAGCAAGATTAGCCATTAGACAGTTACGTTACATGGACTATTGTGGAGTCACATGATAATAAACAATCAGAATTCCCACTCCCAGATGACACCTTTGTAGTTTGTCAGCACGCGAACGCCATGTTTTAGACGGAACCATAGACTCGAATTGAGTGATTTGTGACAAGCTACGACAGAACTGTAATGTACATTTTTAGCGATTAATAATTTAGTACATTTGAAATAATTTAGTCTATTCTTTAGCTAAAAGTACGAATAAAATAGTGCATATTATGTGTATAGTTGCCGTAAATAAATTAAACCGGGTTAATTTGTCTATGCACACCAGATAAAATGTCACTGAACAGCACTGGTTCCGTTTAAAACACGTGTGATTCCACTGATCTGCCCGAACGCGATGCGCGTACTTTTTTTAGCAGATTGGGCATTCTGATTGTTTATTATTCTGTGGTGGAGTAATAAAATAAAAGAATTTATAAAACAATAATAGAAAGTATTATAGGGTATTATACGGAAAGTATTATATGGTTGTACAGCGCCGAACTCCGGGAAACAAATCAAAAATTAGACATCAAATCAAATTAAGACTTCAAATGTGATTGATTAGAAACAAGAATTAGATGTAGAGAGAAAATTGAGAGATGAAGTGAATATAATAAAAGCGAATTTAGACAGCATAAAGAACATTACTCAATTAAATGGTAACACGAGACCCAGAATTCTAAAAGAAGAAGTATAAATAACAATTAAAAATTCTAAAACCGGAAAAGCAAGTGAAGGGTTCCCATTGAATTATCACAGCTAATGAATGATAAATCAAGAAGTAGAATACTACACATATTCAACACATGACATATTGCTGTCTACATTCGTTACATTACCAATGAACTACAAATACAAAAGAATGTTCAGAATTTCGAACAATAAGAACCATAATGAGCCATCTACATGCTAATTTCCATAGCGTTTACTGTAGAAGTTATCTTCAGTTTTTTAAATATTCGCGTCTGCAATCTTCCAGTTAGAGTTCTAATATACTCTTAAATTTAATCCACATTTTTGTTGCAAATAGCGTTTTTAATTACTTTTTCATTGATTAATGATTAAGATTTTGATATTCAAGCAAATTAATATTCAGTATATTACGTTAAAAAAAATAAACTTGGAATTTACCATAGATAAAATAGAATTTACTTCGTTGAAAAGTTTTGGATTTCCCATATTCTTGCTACATATTTTTAAATTTAGAATTTATAGGCGTCCGCCTATGACTCGACGCCTATATATTTTCCTACAAGGTTACTTTTGAAACTTGAAACACTTCCACAAAATCATGAAATTCTTCTACTTCCGTAATTTCTGTCCTGTCCTTGCTCTTGCTTAGTTCAGTCAGTTGAGTAGTGAAAACTGAAAACTGTCAACTGATATCTGCCAAAAATTTTAAGGAAATACTGGAAATAGGAATATGTGGTTATGTTTAATTCATCCTTAAAGGTAAAATGTAGTAAAATTTTATTTTTGAGTCATAAATAATAAAAACAATCAGTAGCAACGTTCTCGTGAATTTATCATTATCTTCTTGCTTAGTTGTCAACCTAACCTCCTTAAGGTGTTTTAATATAAGTAATGATTTGTTTCATTTCTTATTGAAATGACGTAAGATAAACATTTGGTTTGTTATGGAATATCCTTTGCAAGACTTCGATTGTGACCAAGAAACCACGTTCTTATTACCAAATTCTTCGAGTAATGGATATGAAATGGATGTACAAGTAAGAAACCGAAATCCTAAACGACGTCGTAGGATAGGAAATATTTTGTGTGGGTAAGTAAATAAGCCTTAATTCCAAAAACCTTGTTAAAGTAACACATAGAGTGGTAATGAATAAATCGAATAAATCTTAATATATCATAGTGATTTTGAATTTACCACCCTTTTAATTGTTCAAATAACTTCCTTCTCCGCAGTGTTATCACTCTTAGAAAGCAGTTTTGATCACTATTTTTATCAATAATAAATTATATTTTTATGTGCTGTTTTAACATTTTCATGTGGGCACGGAGTTTTAAAATTCTAATGTTTTACCGTTTTTAATATAATAGTCAAATTATTTATTGCTTTTTAACATGGGATACAAATTATCGAAATTATTTTTCTCCTTTGTTTTGATAGATGAATCATATGTAATATGTGACTAACTTCACTGAATTTATTAATGTTAAAAGGAGATAAAGCATGGGATATGTCACCTATTAGAAAAAGATGAACAATTCTCAGCTGTCAGTGTCAATTCCTTGATTAATGGGAGGCAGTAATTTTTCAATAATTTGATTATTTGTTTTTTGTTAAATATGTAACGTTAGATTAGGCGTAAAATAGTGTTAATAGTGGTGAAACTAAAACTTAATAGACATTATTTTTAACAAATAGTGATGGATAACATGGAATCTCAGAGTAATATACTGAAAACATCAAAGGAAGATATTCCATTGATAAGCAGATCCCGTGTAGATTCTAATTGGGGGTATGCTGTTATCTCTTTAGATATTTATTAACTTTATATTATATTTCATATGTTTTATTTACTCCTAACCATGCAACTGTTGTTCTAGCACAACATGTTATAATTGTATGTCGAAAGTAACACTAATAAATATTTTAGTTAATTAATAATTTAGTTAGTATGGCAAATTGATTAACATTTACTTTTCTCAAATAGTCCAAAATTGCAGAGTCCATGGATGTATAAATAAAGAATCTTTATTTATATGTCCATGGCAGAGCCCTAGACATAGATTAGTTTATAAAGTTTAAAGGTTTTAAGAATATTTGTGTACTGTTTATTATTACAGTTGACAGCACAAGAGATATGTAAAACTGTAATAATTTACATTAGTATCATAGTCATTTTGTGAATATCCTTTAAAACCCACATTTATGATTACCAGATACTTAGCCCATTCAGATTTTTACTAGATTCAACTAGAGAAGGAAATAATAAGTATTAAAAGATTATTAACAACACTTATTAATTAATTATTCACTCTAGTGAATAGTTTTAAGCAATCACAACTGTTTTAAAGAAATAATAATAATAGAAAATATCAAGAATAATAATAATCTTAATGGTTGAAAATAAATTATGCAATATTTTTGTCTGCAGATGTATTATTAAAAATGAATTTCCATCAAGTAATTCCACAAATAGTGAAATATTAACTGGTATTCTCATTATCATCAGGACAACAGAATTATCATTATTCAAACATAATAATAATTTGAAGTGAAAATTAACAGACCTGATTTAGTTTCATATGAGTCACTGACAAACCTGGATAACCCTCGAACTAATTCAAATTATGTTAGTAAACTATTCAAATGATGCAAACATCTTTTAGAGGTTAATTTATAAAAAAAAATTATAAAAGAATGGTTAATTCAGATCAAAAATGACTGCTCATATGTTGACAGTGACCTGAATTCTTGTTGACCTTTTAGCACAACAATATTAGAAAGGATTGTATATATGATACTTGCGATTTGACTCTCTGTGATATTCGTTTGACTGTACACAAACTAGAAAGCTATATTGTAATTTCGAAAGTTTGTATTTAGATAATCCTTACCAACAATTTGGAAATGGCTTGTGTTTGTGTCAATTTCATTCCAAAAGTCTGAGTCTGAGTATCCATGTTGTTGTTTTTTATTTATGAAGAAGAAGAATAAGTTTATTTATTCAAAAATAGGAAAAGCCCTAATATATACAAAAATAATCAATTTATGACATTAATACATAATAAGAGTAGTAGTACCTACAGTTAATATACAAAACAATATCCATGAAAACACAAGTAAAAACAAATAAAAGAACAACTCTTGGTGCTTTCAATATGGTCTATTAATTCACATTTAGACATTTGTACAGATGAACAACTTTTAACTGTTTGAGGAATGTTATTAAAAATATCAAAACCCTTAAACAACAAAGAGTTTCTGGAAGCTGTTCTTTTTGTTTTCACAATGTGTAAATTGCAATTACCTTGAGTAGGGTAATTGTGAATATCACAATCTCATATAATAAACTCACAAAAGTAAGCAGGAGCCAAATTATTTAAAATTTTATAAGTTAACAACATTGTAAGGTAAAAGACCCTAAGCATTGTTGATATAGGTGCATATCTGCTTCCACCAAGAATTATTCCATGATTTTGTAATTTTTGCAACTAGTTCAATTGATGTAAATTGAAGAGAAAACTCGAAGTGGGGTTGAATAATTGCATATGCAGGTACCTATATACTATGAATATCTGTATATCAGAACCAGACAAACGTAAGTCCCGTTTAGCCAACTTTTCAGGAGAGAGGAAAAACTAAAAAAGTTACCTAATTGCTTAATTACAAAGCTGTCACTTTAATTTACCTTCAAACTATTGTTTGTATTATTTTTCAAATAAGTATTCTTTATTTATTGTTTGATTTTTCTTACTAAATATATCCCATTTTGTAAAAAGTGGACTTATGTTATTTTGGCTCTACAAAAATCCCACATAGGACTTACTTATCCAGGAAAAGGTGTTTAGAAATAAACTTCATGTGCTACTGTTAAAAACATGTAATTATTATAAACAAATGTAGAAGATAAACTAGCATTTAGTCAATGTTTTTTAATTAATTTCAAACATTATTGTCAAAGAGGTAAGGAGAAAAAAAATTCAAAAGTAGTGGAGTCATCATCAGGGAAGTTGCCTTGGTGTTCACCATATGGAAGGTTTTCAAAGAAAGTTTTGTATTCTTCAGGGATCCATTGCATAAGGTTCATGAGGTTGTTGTACTTTTCATTATTTTCATTTTGTGTGTTTGTATTTGTGGAATTGCCAATGGCATATTAATCCTTTCTTACCTCTGATTTCTTTTCAGTTCAACACTTTTGAATTAATCTTCCTCAAAACTGGTTTTGTAGTATAGCTTACTGTCCACTTTTCGTAGCTGTAACCACACTGCATTGGATATTAGAAATGGTTCATTGTTTGTGTTCTTCTTCCTTGATATAAATTGCATGTCTTTACTCCTCAAGAAGGGAAAATCAAAGAAATCTTTAATGCACATCTGTCTGACAACAAATGGATTTTTTTTGTGCATGTATCAATAAAGTTTGCTCAATCATTTGTAGTGAAAATTGTGTTAGTTTTTATTTGTTTTTTAGCTCTCCCTATTATGCTGTTTTCCATCAACCTTAATGTGGGTGTGTCTGGCCAATAAGAACTTGTGGTTGATTGTCTTTACAGTAGGAACTTTTTTAAAGAGCCACAAATACATAAAAACCATATTTATATTTCTGTTTTGTCCACTGCAATTATCTGTCCAAATAATCAGTACATCAGTAGGCTGATTATTAGTAATTTCTTCAATTGCCCATGTAAATAAGCAAGACGCTATTTCATTTACTCCTCGACCCGCTGTAACTTTATTCCAGATCATGCACCAAGTTTTATCAGTTGTTGCATCATAAATAGTACTATTTAACGTCCAGAGTTTTCTTGAGTAAAAAGTTTTGGTGTTTTTTAAGTCTGGTGTTGGATGGCACTTTTGGAGATCTGACATAATCACTCTTGATCCTATGTGTAAAGACAAGTTGAAATCTACGTTAAAAATTTTAAAATAAATCCACCTTTTTTCTGGTTTAACTTTTTATCTGGTTTTTTACACTCTTCCTCATACAATGCATACATTGTAGAAATGTTCAAGTGATTTCCAAGATATTTTTGTTTTTCTGAGACCTTTTCCTGTTGTAGTGGCTTTCATATAAAGGGAACTTGAAATATGATTTTTGATTCGTTGTAGTCTATCTATAAATATTTTATTACCTTGCATATGTTTTCTCCTAAGCTACCAATCCAGTAATTATAAAAAACTAATGACTTTCAAATTTGTTCTTTCTTGTTCCGTCTCTCTGACGTTGCCTATTAACTGGCTTAGTTCTTATACAAGACAATATGTAGTAAGTGGAGTTACCTTTGTCTGGCTCTGATATGGGTAAGGACTTACACTCTTATAACCCTTTCCCTAATTTGGCAAGTATAATTTTAAAGGAGTTACGTTATTATGGCTCAATGTAGAATTAAATTTTACACACAAAACATCAAAAACCCAAAAATCACAATTTTTGGACTTACATTTGTCTGACTCTAAGGTACAGATATGTTCCAAAAAATCAGAAAATCCACAAGGAATTTTAAATTATTTGTAGGTTTATTGTTATTTTTGTGTGTCAAATTTTAAAGTAAATATATAATATTCATATTTATTCTTATATTGTAAAATTTCTTGTATCTTTCAAAGATTAATATAGTTTGTTGTTTTAGATGTTGGTGCTCATTTTTTGCAAAATGTTGTGCACCGAGGGAGTTAAGATCTCGCACTTTATTACTGGGAAAACCCACCCCTGGTCAATTTCCTGCAAATGCAATCAGGAATCAAAAATACAATATTATAACCTTCTTACCCCTTGTCCTTTACCAACAGTTCAAATTCTTCCTCAATCTTTATTTTTTGATAATGGCAACCAGTCAATTTGTGCCTGATATTCGTATAGGATATTTATATACATATTGGGGACCATTGGTAAGTATCTTATATCTGAATGTATAAAATAGATTAATTTTCAATATTTTAAACATTTTGTGAAATTTTGGTACAAAAATATTAAAAATTAAGCCAATAGCAACTAATTTTCCAAGATGAAAAAAAAAGTCACTATACTATGTTCCACGTTTAGAAAATAACATTGCGGAGATAGGGCCATGTATTTCTTATGGACGATAGCAACGCGGCGTTGCCACGACACACACAAGCACAATTTAGGGTTGTATAATTTGTATTTTTGTTTCCACAAACATGAATTAAATTAATGTTTTTTAACGTAATTGACCAAAAGTGTCCATTCGAAACAAGAGATGAAAAGTAGGGAAAATGATTTTAAATAGATAAATAGTATTTACAAAAGATAATTTTATTTTATCTTATTTTAATTATAGTAACGACAGTTTATTTGTTTTTCGGTGAGAATACGATATGCCATGAATCATAGAAATCAGTAGAAAATATTGACCGCTTGGAATGCATATATCTAATTACTAATTGCAACTTAAAATAATAAGATGTGCGTATGTCAGCTATTTTATGTCGTTCTCTGACTACATAATGATAATAGGGCTTTTATTTAGTAGTTATTCTGACTTTACAGTTAAGTGTTAATTGAAAATGAAAATTCAAAAATTAAGCAAAGGGAATATCTTGGACATCCGTGCAAAAGAGAGTGTCTGAGAGTTTTGGCAACACTGATCTCCATAAGCGTAATGTTATTTTCTTAACTTACAAAGAATAGCAGTGTTCATCGTAACTTATAACTGGATCATCTATTGACAAAAAACGAAAAAGATTTGGCCTAATGAAATTTGTTCTCTGTGGATAGTTAGACTCTCTTCATCATCATCATCATCACCCAGCCCTTTGCGTCTACTGCTGGACATAGCCTCTCTCATTTTTATCCATTGTGCTCTGTCTTGGGCAATTTTCATTCAATTTCTTGACATGTTCTTGAGATCGCCAGTCCAACGTGTAGGGGATCTTCTTCTACTTCTTTCGTCTAACCTCTGCCTTTACTCAAGCAATCTCTTTGTCCACCTTTCATCACTGATTCAGGCGACGTGTCCGGCCCAGTTCCATTTCAGTATGGCAATTTGTAGACTCTCTTGCCTTGTTGTAATTTAGTGATTATAGGTAAGGTTGGTGATGATTCTAGTGCCGTTCTTATCCAAATTCTTTCGGAGTAGTTATATGACATATCATATATAATTTTATCAAATGTTTTGTTATAGTCTAAAAAGTAGATCTAGATTCATTGATTCTTAATTACGTCTAATTATTCACACTGTGCCCTTTTTCTTTTGACTTTTACGTTAAGCATATATACCAATATAAATAATTGTTCCTGATCTTAAATTTACAAATAAAATCAATAAACATTTTTAATTCCAGTGTTTTGTTCTTTTGGTTACAATTTCAAGAGAAGCTATTGACGACTTAAGACGACATAAAAGAGATCAAGAAGTCAACAATCAGAAATGTAGGAGATTACTAAATGATCCCAATAAACCGTACGAGACAGTTGCAGCCTATAAACTAAAAGTAAGTTATACAAATTTTCATATTAGGTCTAATATAGTTGGAGTATAACTGTTAACAGCTTTTCATTAATAATTTTAATTAAACTCCAATTCGTTGACATAAATATGGATTTGAACTTTCTAATACTAGATTTTCTAATAATTTCGATAGAGTTATAGTTGGTTATTTTCACTGCAAAGGAAATTAACAGAACAAATATAGATACTTAAGAGTTTGTCAAATTTGCATACATCCTGCACTGTATTAAGTTTACTATGGTCTGATTCACTCTTTTTGGACAATTTGCTACTGAAAATCACTGAAGTAAGATGAAACTATCATCTAAATACTGTTTGCTACAATAATAAATATAAGGTACATATGCGAAGCTAAACTCAGGACATTCGAGAGAAAGATACTTAAAAAAGTATATGGCCCAGTGCAAGACGGCACATGGAGAATCAGGAGAAACGGTGAGGCAGGGTTGGACAAAATTTTTTTTTTTTTAAAATAACAAAAAACATGTTTTTTTATTTAAAAACAATGTTTTTTTGCTTTAAAACAGTTTTTTTGTCATCTAAAAAAACACTGTTTTTTTAGATGACATGAACTCAACTGGCACACATATGGGCTTTGGATAAATGCCAGAGAAATACCTGCACCATAGCAGATGCAACAAACATTTGGAAGGACTTACTGGGTTATTTCCAAAGTGAAAGTGAAGCTCAATCTAACGGTTGTAGCAACATGTTGGAACTTCATAAAGCAGAAGCACGTTTTCAACTGGCTATATCAGATGCGCGTTATTTAGCTTATTTATTAGACCCTCAGTACTTAGGTCAGAAACTCTCTGAGGTGGAAGTTGATAGACCATTGTTATTTATTTCGGATTTTCACCCAAATGTAATGCCCGAAATACTGTCATTTTGTGCCTTAGCACCGCCATTTAATAAACAATATTTGTTTGCAAAAAATACAGTAGACAATTTAAGTTCTTTAACATGGTGGCTATCTCAAAAACAGTTTATTTCATCGGAGTTGTTGCAGCTGACAACTCAATTATTTTCAGCAGTTGCATCCAGTGCTGGAGTGGAAAGGCTATTTTCTTCATATGGTCTAGTTCACTCGAAATTGAGGAATAGGTTAGGAAGTGACAAAGCTGCTAAACTAGTAACAATATTTCAACATTTAAATAAAAATGTTTAAGGTTACATTATTAACTGTAAAAGCTCTATATTTATAGTTTTTATTTTTTTAAGGAACATTCATTGTTATTTTTATTTTTTGTATCACATATCAGTTGCAGGATGTAGGACTGTGTAATAGATGCTGTTGTAATTCAATAATTATTTACTTAATTTCTTAATTTTCTTTTTCTTTTAACTTTATTAGGAGTATTGGTTTAGTTAATGTTACTACAGCACTGTCGTAACAGTACTAGTATGCTTGCTACCTGAACATAAATAAAGTTTAGTCAGTTGCTTTTTTTGAGTTTTACTTTTTACTTAGCATTAATATTGTTATTGCACCTACTTACTCTATAATCTATGTTTGCAATTTTGCAAATTAGCAAACAAAAATGTCTTATAACAAATGTTAATAAACAAAATAATAATAAACAATAACGAAAAAAAACTATGTTTTAAAACAATGTTTTAAAACAATGTTTTAAAACAATGTTTTAAAACAATGTTTTAAAACGGTGTTTTAAAATGCAACTGTTTTTTTTTCAGTGTTTTTAAACATGTTTTAAAACGTTGTTTTAAAAAGCTTGTTTTAAAACAGCCCAACCCTGCGTTGAGGTTAATGAACTGAATGAAGGGTATGACATTGTAAGATTTATGAAAACAATGACTGTCATGGCTGGAACATGTTCAGTGACAAGAAGACAAGATAACGACAAAGAAGATGTTACAGTGGAAGCCGGTAGGAAGGTGAAAAAAAGGAAGGCCCAGGACGAGATGGTTGGATGACATGGAAGATGACCTGAAAATCATGAATATAAGATGATGGAGGAGAATGCTCCAAGAATCTGAATAGCCAGGGAAGTTAGATAACCCATCCAGGGTTATGATGCCAAAAGAAGAAGATGTACATATGCGCACATATACACACTTATGCATACACATACATACATCGGTATTAGTAAATAAACAACAAAAACTACAAGCAGGAATTGGAAACATTAATTGACTCTTCATCCAGGGTTGTAACCAACTTAAGTTTATTTACAAATAAGGAATTAGACAAATAATCACGTTTTGGCATTGAACTAAATTCAAATTAAATATATGCAAAAACGAATTCAAAGTGAATCTTTAAAATATCTGTGTGTCATACGTCAAAATGCAATCTCAGGGTATTTCTGGGCATTGAATTAATTTTTAGAATGTGTTTTTCAATTCTTTTATAATTTATAAGTTTGTAAATTAAACTTCTGTGTTATTTGCAAATGTTCTAGTGTATATTACAATAGTACTAAAAATATTACAGGTTGGTGATCTTATCATTGTCGATAAAGATGAAAGAGTTCCAGCAGATCTAGTACTACTTCGAACTTCAGAAAGTAGTGGTGAAGTTTTTGTAAGAACGGATCAACTGGATGGAGAAACAGATTGGAAATTGAGATTGGCTGTTCCGGTGACTCAGAAATTAGCTTCAGATCGTCAATTATTTGAAATAAATGCAAGTATCTATGCCGAGAAACCACAGAGAGATATACATTCATTTATCGGAACATTTAGTAGGGTGAGTATCTTTTTTTAAATAATTTATCATCATTATCATTCTGGCTTTACAACCCTGCGTGGGTCCTAGCCTCCTCAAGAATTTCTCTTAGTTGTCTCTATCCATCCGCAATTTTAATTGCGAAAAGTTCGAATAAATATCAAAATTAAAAATTCATCACATCATCAGTTTATATTCTGATTGTATACTATCAATAAATTGATCTAGTTTAATTAACATAAGATTTACATCACACGAGATCAACAAGGTTCAATTGACTACAAAATACATAAGAAATTATTTCGGTCAGTGGCGTTACTCATAAATTTATTTAAAGATCCTTTTTTTATTTTTTATAATCTTATTTTTGTGGATACGGATTTGTTCTCCTTAATTTCCAAGTTTTTCTTCCATAAGTTAATTCATCTTTTAAGTTCCTTGCAATCATTGCTTTTAATATCATGACGCTGTCTTCACCATGGGCGTCTTCTCTTTCTTTTCTCACTAGGAATCCACTCCAACTTCGGCTTGTTCAGGAGCTATTTGACGGATGGTGAATGGATATACCCTATTTTTTTATGCAGCGTAACTATTATTTAGGCCGTCCAATCAACAGACTATGTCAACGTCGTCCGTATGAATTGACATAAGTAGTGTTTGACTTTTAAACCAGTCTCATATCTCTCGCCAGTGACACTACAGCCCAAATCGACCTTCAAACTATGCGTCCAACCTTGCCAGTCTCGTACCGAGACTGGAAAGTTCCTCGCTGAGGTCCAAGTTCTCACTATGATGGTCTCCGATGCCCCTAGTGCCCAGGACGGGCCTCGTCTTCTGGAGTTTTGTGGAAATTAGAAACAAAATCAGTGCAAGCTCGTTACTCGGAGGTTCTGGGGTTGAAGAACACTAATATTATGCCGGTGGTGGTCTTTGAGGCACTTGTTCCGACGCGCTTCTTTTTCTTTAGTTTTATGGATATTTGATACAAAATCAGTGCGCACGCAGCTTTACTCGGGTTTTTTTTTTGGTCGCTGATCACGGAGATCATGACCATGGTTTGGAGGTTTTGTATTTTCTACAGTAACGGGTATCCGGCCCATTGCCCAACCAAAAACCTGGAGAACCACAATTTTTTTGTCAGGGTTTATTCCCTTAGCCGATATGGTTCCAGTTTTTAAGCACCTGAAACTCGCCTTTCATCCCCTCTTGTCTGTTACATAACGCACACCAATTGTACAGCATGCTCCCAGTGGTTACATAACCAAGGTCTACGGGAGTGAAGTGAGAGTAGGATTTGTTGGCAGAAGCTGTTGCCATTTCTAGAACCCCCAACTGTTTCGTCGGAAACAGTGGATAATTACATATGTACTATACTACCTCGAAGATCATTTACCAACCTTAAACTACCAAAACCAGTTTCATATACTTCTAATAATTCTTTTTGTAACTGTTTTTTCAGCTTGATTCTCTCAATGGCGATGAAAGTTTAGATCTAAATAATACCTTATGGACAAACTGTGTTATTGCTTCAGGACAAGCTACAGGAGTCGTCATTTATACAGGTACATATATAAATGGATTATTTTGTAGGCAATGTGTTTTAATTTAATAATGAAATATTGTTAGGAGTTAGTTCTTCTCATTTTGTTTCGTAACTATCATAATAAAGAAAAAAATTTGGCAGTATACCAGTATAAAAAAGAATTCTCATAGAATAGTAAATATCTTATAATCCAAGGTTGAATCAATCTTTTTTAGGGCCCGAAACAAGATCGGTAATGAATAATTCCGCACCCAGATCGAAAGTTGGGCTATTGGATATCGAAGTTAATACCATTACTAAACTACTATTTGCAGCAGTCATTGGTCTTGCTTTGATTATGATGGCTTTGAAAGGATTTAGCGGTCCATGGTACAGATACATGTTCAGATTCATATTATTGTTTTCATACATCATTCCAATTAGGTAAGTTTTTAATTATTTTAATATTAACTAAAGCAACTGAAAATTTTAACTTTTGTTTTTACCAAAATAATCACATACAAAATGCATTTGTATTTACAAATTAATATTTAAGTGACCATCAGAGAGAAAAAAATATAGTTTAAATAATTAGCATACATAATTTCACACAAACCTAGCCAAATATCGATATAACTTACAACAGTCTATCTAGTGCAAAATATCTGTAATTTTTTATTGTTATTGATTGTTATTTCTATAGTCAGATGTACGGACTTCATTTATCTCGGTCTGGCACAATTTTCTTCCCGGCAGTCTCCTTATTATCTTCGGTATTTTGGCATATATTATAGAAAAGTTTCGTCAGTAGGCTCCTCACACATTGCGTGATCATCAACAGCAGACTATTGTTTGTTCTTCATTTTCTATAGGTACTCTTATATTCAAACTCTAGACCAAACAGACTGCGGCACATCATCATTATCATCGTTGTCAACAGCTACTGGGAAACTGGGACTGTCTCAAACAAATCCAGCGTGTTTTTAAAAGTTGAATTAATCGTCGTAAATCATTAGAATGACATCCAGTTTTGTGATCTTCGGAAGCTTGGTGTCTACATTTGCATCAAGACTGAAGACAATTTTTAGAGTGAAAATCAAATAAGGAATGCATATGACGTTTTTGGAACTACTCTTAGGAAATGTGAAAATTTAGTTTAAAAAAATAATTTTTTAAAAGTAGCATTTAAAAAAAGTAAATTCTTATGAACTATTTTATTCATGAACCCTTTTTAATAAACTTGAACTACTTATTTCTTTCTTTTAGTTTACGAGTCAATTTGGACATGGGAAAATCGTTTTACTCATGGGCTATAGGAAAGGATCCCGCTATGAAAGGAACTGCAGTACGGTGCACCACAATTCCAGAAGAGTTGGGTAGAATCTCTTATCTTCTTTCCGATAAAACTGGTACCCTAACACAAAATTCTATGGTTCTAAAAAGGCTACACATGGGAACCGTCAGTTTTGCAACTGATAGCTTCGACGAGGTAATAATAAAGTTAAAAAACTATTTACAGATTAGACTATTTTAAAAACAAGAAGGTATTGCACTCGAGGTAGTGCCGACAGACGTGAAAACTTCTTAAATTCCGTTGAAATTATAAGTGTTAATTTGAGATAAATAAAATTAATAATTTTTTGTGAATATTAATCTCGTATATAACTATACGTTCATTAATAACGAAGATGCTGTGTAATGCCCTTTTGGTAGTCGCCTTGTTTGTTTTTTTGATTTTTTTGTTCGCCTGTTATATTCATTTGCTATATCGCATGCTAGGATTCGATTAGTTGTTTATTGTGTACTCAGCCAGAGGCCTTCTTCACGTCAATAATGCAAAATTTAATATTTAATAATAATAATTAATCTATTTGCATCCATAGTGACATCTGATATCTCGTATGTAACGATATATTCATTAAGAATCAAGATACTGGGTAGTGCGCTTTTGGTAGTCACCTTTTTGCTTTTCTAACTTTTAATATAATCGTTATCCCCTTTTTTAATACATCACACGCTCCAATCGGACCAATAACAACGGAGTATGATGTAATATCTTTTTGGTAATGCCACCATGCTTGTTTTTTCTGTCATTGTACTAGTTAGCCTCTCCCCTTTCCAACGAGACCTCATGCGTCATGATCCGTCCAGCCGTTCTGGAGGTGTGCTACTTTGCGAACAATTTACGTAGTGGTGACGGTTGCAAAAATCTGTCTTGTATTCAATGCTTTTTCTACATCCAAATGTGCACAACTGTTTGTGTTGTTTTTATACGCTAAAGAAGTTTTGACTTCAATAGTATTCTAAATGCAAATTACGATGCAAAACAGGCGAAACGATAGGAGGCTTAGAATTTATTCAGTGTCATGTATACGAAATTTTAGTTTCTGCCTAATTCTTAATATTATTTGCTATGTAGACAGGCTATCGGCCGCCACTTTTTCATTACTACTACATAACTAATGTCCAAAAAATACACCGTGAAACTGCAACATAATTATTCTACAAAAGTAGATATATTTGTGTTTTGGAGAATTTTTTTAATTAAACGGCTTTAGCTCTACAAGCGAACTTGCAAAATGTTTCACTAGATAATGAAAAAATATACAAAATTCAAAGGGTATAATAATAATTTTTATTGAGAGTGATGTGTTATGAATATTTATTTAATTATAGTAGTTTTTAGTCTAATTATTTTTGAAAGCTGATTATCAAAATATGGATTTCAGGTGACAAAAGCAAATCACCAAAATTAACTGTAATAAAATATAACAAAATATTTTTACCAACTAAATGAACCTAATTTACTTTATTTATAAGCTATACAGTTCTAAAGAAATTGTACTTGTTCTGACGAATTTTTCAGATCCGTTTGCCATAGAAGATCAGTCCATTGTTTTTTTTTTCATTCGGTACATCTGCTTACAGGTCCTGGCCATTTCTAACACTTGCCTGTAAGCCACTCTGTGTCTGTGTCGAGTTCTTTATTTCCAGTGTTCGTAAATCTTTCAACTTGACATTGTTTCTTGAATCTCTCTATTGGTCTTTCTGCTTTTTGGAGCTGGTGTCCACTCCGTTAATCTTCTTTGAACTGTGTTTTTTGCTTTTCTGAATTTATGTTGATACCAACTAATCCTTTGGAGTTTTATTCTTAAATTTTTTATCTCGTCATATGTATACGCTATTATTTTTGCCACCTTATTGCAAATTTTTCCTGATATTTTTGTTGTGACACTTTACTTTTAGACACTTTACTTCTGACACTTTACTTTTAAGTACAATCGACCAAAGCTTAGATTCTGTACCATGATCATTCTAAAAGGTTCTGTACAGATCATCTTTTAGTACCAGGCAATTCTATTGGCTCCAGTAGGACTTGACTTCTGGACTACATGCACTGATGTCTTGCCACGGTCTCTCACCTCGACGCATCCAATCCAATATTCTTTGGTGATGATACATGGATCATCTGCTTAGGCATCTTATAACTGTTTAGGCTGTCATTGATCGTTAATGAGGGTGGTTCGTTCCACGGGGCAAAGTCGTTCCTCTAATTTAAGACAGTTATTAGAATTTGCACTCAATGGTCGTCTCGACAGAGCATCAGATTTGAATGAACTCTTCCAGCTCTGTTTATTATTTTCTTGCAAATTACGGTGAATGTGACCTATGTCGCCACCATTCCAACTTCTGGGTTCGCGTCTGTTCGTCATCGTGTTACGAACTACTTTCCGTACGATTTTCTTCAGACGTTTATCGTTTTGTTCGTCGCTCTCTTCAGAGGTTCGTACTCGATAGCTCCGTTAAGCTTGACTAGCTGTTTCGTGCTCCAAGGCAATGGCGAGCGCTTCATTTAAAACTTTCGATCTTGCTAGTCATAAAGCTTTCTGTAGTTCAGTGTCTCTCAACCCATTGATTAAGGTATCTACAGCAATTTCTTCCAAAATGTTGTATGGTGCCTCTGGAGCTCTGGATAAGCCAACCGCACTATACGAGCAACATCTGCTTCAAACTCTTGCAAATTTTTACTTCCTCGTTAAATTCTACTTCTTAGTTGTGCTTTGTAGACTTGTTGTAGATAGGCATCTCCGCAGCGTTTTTCTAGTCGAGTGAACAAGATCTGCTAACATTTTTCTTGACTCTTAGGAATCGATTTTAGGATATTCGCAGCATCACCTCGTAAAGCAGCAATCAAGGAAACTGCCTTTGCTTGTTTGGTCCAATGATTGGCTGTCGCAATAGCTTCAAATTGCCCAAAGTATATGGACCAAGAAGACTTTCGATCAAATTGGCAGTTTAAATCTCATATGATGTGTCGTTTCGTCTCTTGGTGATTTTTCTTTCACTATAGGATCTAAATCTACTGCATTAATTGGTGGTAGCACTTTTGTATTACTTATCATGGTCTCTAATTGTTTGATCTTCTCGTCTACGTCGTTTACATTTTCTGTATCTTATTGAATGTTCTAGAAACTTCTTCAAATTTTTCATTTTTCTGCCTACATACTTCTTGAATTATTATTTTATCGAATAAGTTTTCTCGAATCTTTTGGAAGCATTTTCAGAAGTTTCTTTAATCATTTAAAAAACATTTTCGAATTTATCATCATTATTTTTAGAAGTTTCCTTAATCATTTGAGAAACATTTTCAAATTTCTCGTCGAATCCTTAAATTTTTTTTTCGAATTTCTCATTTATTTTCATTAAAACTGCTCCTTCTGCTGACTGAAACTGGAACGTATCTCCATGTTTTGTGAGAACATTCTTCAGTCGTTCTTGAAGGATCTTCTTGGACCCGCTGCAGTTTTTATTTCGTTCTTCTAGTTGTTCACGTAATTGTTTTACTGACAGCTCTACGATCCGCATCTTTGGTTTGGCATACACGTACTTCCAAATGTTCAACAATCATTACCTAACTACGCGAATGTTCTCGACGAACAATACTTTTCAAAAGTTCAAAAGTTTTTTTCAAAAGTCACTGCGGTTTTAATATTATTTAAGATTATTTATTTTTAAGCTTACAGCATGACTTTATTTGTCAACTTCTTCCAATAAGAGCGCTCCGGTATGTATAGCAGATACATTATTTCTAAAAGTATCGGGAGTAGTCCACCTCTATTCGCCTACTACGAACGGTCGCTTCTCTTTATCTCGAACACGCGTCATCGTTCTAAGAGATGCAACCGTTATATGGGGTACGTCGAAATTGGCTTTTTCGTTACAATATTAATATCTTGTTGAAAAATTATCATTTTTTTAATAATATTTTTCTACTATATATTCGATTTAATCAATAATTTTTAACCTTAGTTTTTATTGCAGGTCGGCACATTATTACGCAGTTCGTATAATAACGAAAATGTGAAGGTAAACTCTGATAAATTTAGACGAAGTGAAAATACAAGAATCAAAGATGCAGTACAGGCATTGGCCTTATGTCACAATGTTACTCCTATGTATGAAACCATTGAAAAGAAGGATACTGGTATTTATTTTATCCATTTTATTAACTCGTCACAGTCTAATAATAAAAGAGAATTGTTACATTTATAATATACAGAGTGTCCAATGATGAATAAAATATATAATAACTGAAGATTCCCTGCTTCAAAATAAGACGTTTCGACAAAAAACGAAATTTTGCGTTTTCTTTTCCAATAGTTTTATTAAAAGTGACTGTTAATTCTTCTTCCCCAGTTTTTCCCTCTTTAGGCGTCGCTATTCCTTGTTCTTCTTCGCCACTCATTTTTGTCCATCGTGTCTTCACGAATAACACCAAAACATTTTCTAAGAGAAATGTACCAAAGGAGGCTAGCACAGAAGATACAGCTGAAACAAATAGACGACATCAACGATATAAACGCAAGCTGGAAGAAAATTAAAAACAACATTGAAGAAGCAGCAACAGAAGCTCTAGGAAAAAGCAAAGTCATACTGAACAAAAGAAACAACAACAATATACCATGGTTCAGAAAAGAAATCAAAGAGAAACGAGGGGCCTACACAAAGTACAAAACATCAAATACTCCAGTCCCGAGACACCTATAGAATAATACGAAATGAAGCAAAGCAGTTGGTAAGAAGAACAAAAAATGAACACTGGGAACAGTTTACAAAGAGGATGGAAAGCGACTTCTACGGTACACAAACACAAATATGGATATTTATAAGAAACCAACGGAAAGAAATGGCAGAATTGAAGGAAAACAATAACATACCAGCAAACGAATGGGAAAGATACCTGACGGAACTGTTTAAAGGAAAGGAAAATAATAATCAACACAATTACGTACCTGAATTAAGACACGAAATAGAAATCAGTTTTCAGGAAGTAGAGATAGCCATAAATTCACTCAAAAATTGAAAGTCAGCAGGACCAGACGGAATAACCAACGAGCTTCTAAAACACGGAGGAGAAAGTATAACTCTTGAGATGATAAAACTTATACAAAAACTAATATTGCACTGCAAGATACAGGACGCATGGAGAAACAGCATAATGGTACCAACGTTCAAGAAAGGAAATAAAGAAGACCCCAACAATCATAGAGGTATAAATCTACTGAACAGCACAGTTAAGCTTATCACAAAAGTCCTAACCAACAAAATCAATAAACTAACAACTTCAACAATCAGATGAACAACAAGGATCCAGATCCGGAAGATCCTACGTAGACGCCATATTTGTACTAAGACAAATTACAGAAAAGGCCATCGAGTACAATAAACCAGCTTATCTATGTTTTATAGACCCGACAAAGGCTTTCGATCGCATACAGGTCGAAGACGTTCTACACCTACTGTGTAAAAGATACATATCAAGCAATATTATACAAACCATCGAAAACATCTATTTCCATAATCGAATACAGGTAAAGATAAATGGAAAACTAACACAGTGTATATCAGTACAAGGCGGAGTCAGATAGGGTAACTCGTACGGCCCACTTCTCTTTAATATAATAATGGACGAAATAATACAAGCAGTACGTAAAGGTCATGGCTACAGAATGGGGAACAAAGTAAAATCGAAATTGGGCTGATGGGCAAATAATAAAGCAGGAAGCAAGGTTTAGATATCTGAGAATAGACATAACTAGTTACGGAGATGTTAAAGAAGAAGTACGACAACAAAGCTTAAAAGCAAGTAAAGCTGTGGGATCCCTTAATGACACAATCTCGAAGAACAAACACCTAAGACAAGACACAAAAACAAGAATCTATAAAGCAGCAATTATATTAAACATACACGGGTGAGACAATACCTGACACATCTAAAACTAGACGACTCCGACAAATATCAGGGAAAAGTGTGTTTTATAGGGAGAGAAGCGAAAACACAAGTAGAGCATGAAATATAGAAGACATAAATGTATGGGCAAAGAATATAGACGCTTATAGAAGAACAGTTTAAATGGGCGATTTGGTTACGGTTTATACTTCAAAACACTTCTGGCAGTCGGCTTAAAACTATCATAAAAGATGTAGTTGTGGGAAAGGAGTACGAACGGAGCTATTTATTTAACTTTGCATCTACGCCTAAACAAATTTCGATGCTTTTTTTGTTTTTTTTTTTTCACAATAAAATCTTTATTTTTAATATATTAAATGGACCACAGGAGTGATGACGTAGATTTTACTGACATACGTCAGTTTCACTTTCCAAACAAACCTGGTTTAGTGTGGATAATTTTTAGTTTTCGTTATTTTTTCATTTATTTTATAGAATCTTTCCGCTTATTGCAATATTTAAGTATTCTAATAGTTACTACAACAATTTTACAAGGTTGTGTAAATAATAAAGCACATTGTTTTATGCTAATAGCAATAAAATGCATGTATCAATAAAGTAAGGTTACAATTTCTTTATTTAAACTTTTAAACTATATTTCATAGAAATAGAACTCTGAATTATGATGGTATTATCGTAAAAAACACTATGCTTACAAGAAAAAGCAGCAGAGGAAGCAAAATGTTAACTTTATAGAAATTAAAAAGTCTTGAGATTTGACATTTCAACTTTTGTTTGGAAAGTAATAATGTCAATGTGACAGTCGTGACGTCACACTCCTGCGGTCCATTGTTAAATTTTTGATTTTGAAATTTTAAAAGGTATGATATTTACAATATTCAAAGCATTTATTTTAAAATTTTTATAACTTTGAATTAAAAATAGGTTTATTTCAACACAACGAAAGACCGTCACATAAATTTTTATTATACTGTTTTTCTGCCCAAAAATTAACGAAATATTGTTTAAAAATTTCAGAATTTTTCAGCCAAAAATTTAATTTTCTCAGGACTTTTCATTAAACTTTTTAGACAAATTTCCGCTTACTCTTGTACGATGTTTACCTACAAAATAAGGTTTTAAAATAAATATCAAATAATGCATGCGACTATATTCTTTGTCAGTGAACGAGAGAGGTAAAGTGAGAAAAGATTCGTCTGCTGACCAGATGTACTTAAGAATACACTCTTGAATGGAAGTAGGTATATTTAGTATATGTATAATAAAATTTTAAAAGCATCTGAAGAACAATAATACTTGAAATAAAAATGTTTGGAATATAAATAGTTTGCAAACAGAAATAGTTATTTTAAAATTATTTTCTTTTAAGAAATATGAAATTAGGCGAAATGTATCAAATTAAATATATTCTGCAGAAAAAACAGTGTTGTGTTTTACATTTTATGTTATATTATATTAAAAACAAAGAAGAAGAAATTATTAAATTTAGAAACTTTGGAAATATTTAATTCCGGTGATTGTGACTTTATTGATTGAATTAATTTTATTTATAGTTAATAAGAAGAGAGTTTTAATGATATTTTTTGTAGATTTGTACATATTTAAATTAAAAATTTGAATCATATTTTTTCTAAAAGGATTCATTTATTAAAAGTTAAAATATTATTATTTTCTTCAAAAAATGTTATAAAACGCAAAAAATTTAATCCTATTCTACGGCCACGTGGCATCTACATAAAAATATCTATTGCATTTGTTGCCCCACTCTTTCATATTTTAAAAGCAATAATAGCGCTGACATGACCGCTTCCTATTGGTACTAAAATCTCGATCCACCCTCTCATTCTTTTTCATAACGTGCGATCATCTTTTGCCGACTTTCAAAAATAACAGTGAAAGATTCTTCTATAAGCGTCTATATTCTTTGGTATGGGTGACAAACAGGAGTGGAACACATCAGTAGAATGGCAGAGGATCGAATAGTACGAATAGCATGAGATAAGTCACCAAATGGACGAAGAACTATTGGCAGACGAAGAAAAAGATGGTGCTACAATTTAAACAATTTAAGAGTCTAATATTGAAGAAGAAACATGCTTTAAAGCCTACAGACAAGAAAGAAGAAAAAGAAGAAGTGTCTTCTTCACCAAAATCTTTCTCTCTTAAGTCCTCTACCACACAGTCTTTCCATCTTCTCGGGTTTTCTTTACCTCTCCTTTACAGTCTTTGTTCTTAAATCTATTTTTTTTTTTTTGAGAGGTTGGGTTCAGAGTTCAGCCTTCAGATCAAAAGTGACTTTTAATTTCGATATTTAATTAAAATATAATCAAATCATGTAACTCAAATAATAATTCAATTAAAACGACGAAAAACATTCTAATGTGTTATTTAACAAAAATATTACTTAATTAACATAATGTTAATAATGTTATTAGATTCGGGATCTTTTACTTCTGAAACTGAAGCTGATCAACATTTACAAATGCCAGATAAGGATGTCACCTACCAAGCCTCCAGCCCAGACGAAGTAGCCTTGGTCCACTGGACTCATCAAGTCGGACTTACGTTGAGCAACAGAGATTTAAACTCGATGCAACTTAGAACCCCTAATGGTAGATTTATGAACTATGCCATTTTGCAGATATTTCCTTTTACCAGCGAAACTAAAAGAATGGGAATTATTGTTAAGGTAAATATATACAATCTACGTTGAAAAACTATGAAAAACATAATGATTAATTTTAGAGCTTGTACACGGGAGAAATTATTTTCTACTTGAAAGGTGCCGATATGGTCATGTCCGCGATTGTTCAATATACAGATTGGCTTGACGAAGAAGTTGGAAATATGGCTAGGGATGGTTTGAGAACTTTAGTTGTTGCTAAGAAAAATCTTACAGAAGAGCAATATCTGGAATTTGAGGTAAGAATTTAACAGATTTTAAATATAGGTATCTATAGAGCAATAACACTTTTTTAAAAAGGAGAAACACTTAGAATAAACTTTTATTTACAATAGCAAAGATTTTAGTTACAATTTAAAATATATTATTCAGTCTGGTTGTTTTGCGATGTTTTATAATAAATACACTTGCTGAATTTGCTGTTCTAGTACGTTGCAATTAGTGTTGATTAGATAGAAGTTTAAGGATGAATAGAGTATGATTTCGTTTCAAAAATTCGAAGAAACCAATTAAGGTTCAACAATGTTTGGAAAGTTCAGGGTAACTTACGATCTTTTGTTGTCGGAAGCCGGTAGAAAGTTAATTTATGCAAAGTTGTTTGTTGGAAATATGACACAGTACTCTTGAAACATCAAGACGAAGCAGAACTAATCTGACTTGATAATGGCAAGTGTGACCTTGCCGAAACGTCGTCAAAACAATGGTTTTTCTAAAAACCAAAATTACTTAACGCGGAGTCAAACCCGGAAAACAACTGAAATCATATATATATATATATATATATATATATATATATATATATATATATATATATATATATATACCCATATATAAATTGATGGAAGTGGAACTTAGCGGCGGGAGCACAGACCACTAATAACTAGACGTTTCACGTAGGTAGCTCAAGGTCAAATTAAACTTAATGTCATTTGTAGTACCGATACTAATCTTCAGATGTCGCTTTACTCTGTCTCTACTTTTACTCTGCAGTTTAGGTTTAGAACACAACTAAGAAAAGTATTATAATTGTCAATCGCCAATTGTCATATTAGCGTCTATATTTTGATTTTGTTAGTGTTAGTTTGTAAATTACAAAACGAATCACCTACCTCAGTGATCTACGTTTTAAATGTTCCTGGCGGTGTTCAAATAGTATTTTGCAGATTAATAATAATCAGTTAAATATGGTTTTTCACAATAAATGTTGTATCCTACAATGTACTAATTCGTCATTAATTAGACATACCTTTCCAAATCCACGATGAAGACATTACACGATTTAGGAAGTGGCTTAGTGTTATAAATAATCCTAATTTAGATATGATTAATGCTAGTACAGTTTATAAAACAAAACGAATCTGCCACAGACACTTTGAAGATAAATTTGTTTCTTCATGGAGTCATAAATTGTATAAAAATGCAATTCCTAGCTTACATTTGTATGGTGAGTCCAATAAATATTTGATATTAGAGAACAAATAACTGATTGATGAACTTAAATCTGCAACTTCTTTCCTTGAGTTCCGTAAAAGAACAAAATCCTATCTATCTGAAAGATCATATTATTCAGTAGAAGAGTTTCTTAAGGAATAGTGTTATGTACAAGTAACTAAACAATTTGTATAAATATATATTTGAGTATCACATGCAGAAACTTGTATTAAAATGTATTAGTTCGTAAGGATTTATTATGCAATTTATTTAAATTTTGCAATACATTGTGTATTTTATTATTTTTTATTTTGTGATATTGACGATTTATGTAATTTCAGTAAATTTTCAATTGCTATTTTTCTGACTTTTTTGTAAGCTTTTTCCATAAAATTGTACAATTTTCAGTGATAATAGCATATTTTTATTCTATATTAAATTACAAAGTTGTTTTACAAGTATTAAATAAATAAATAAATTACATTTTGTTTTATTTTTCCTAAATTGTATTGTGTATATTTGAAATTAAAAATGTCATCCATTTTTTTTTTCAAATATACCAAATTATATTTAAAAATTTTAAAATTTATTTAAATTTTCCCACCAAAATTAAAATTTGAATTTCCCGCGTAATTTCTCGCTTGAATTAGTTCCGATACTAATCTTATGGAGCGCTGAATTTCATATCCAACTAAAGTATTGTCGTGGAACATCTAGAGAGGTAGGTGATCTGTGGGCGGGAGTGCGTATGTACGGAGCGTTGACGGGACGGTGGCGGTGCACGATTACTGGGATCAGTAACATCTGTTCTACGATTTTTCATTGCCATGTCAATTGTATAAGAGGTATTCTACGAGTTTTTAATTCTGTAGTGTCCCGTTACTATTTGCATCCTTATGCCTGGACTATGTTTCTATATGCTCATCCGCCGTTGAGTCCTATTTTTCAGTATTTCGTAACAAAAGAGTGCCCTTATAGTTACTAGCTTATCCGTCCGTAGCCGTTGACCAGTAAGTGCTTATATTGGCAATGACTCAGTAAAATGTTCGCCATATCTGGTTACCTCTACTTAGTTTAGCATGCATGTCGATGCAGCTAACAGGGTGTGGCTTGTGGAGTCATAAGTTAGAGTTTACTGCCTTGTGAGTTTCAGTTGTTTGAAATCACCTCCAGTCTATGAATCTTGGTGCGACTATTTCAAAAATAAAAGGTACTACCTCTACAAGGCACCCCTTTTTAGTACCTCCACATACACCTCTTTTGTAGACTACTTTTTATATTTCGAAATATATAAAATTAACCACTACTAGTATCATTTTAATAAAATTTAGTTTCTTATTTTATTTAGCCTTTTAAACAAAAAGTATATTACAGATATTATATACACGAGTTTTGGAAAATAAATTTACAAAATCAATTAATTCTAAAATTATCTCATTGTTTGTAATATTTAAGGCCCGTTATAATGCTGCTAAGTGTTCAACAACCGACAGAGTGGCACAAGTGGCTCAAGTTGTTGAATCTTTGGAGAGGGAAATGGAACTGTTGTGCATTACTGGCGTAGAAGACAAATTACAGGACAATGTACGTGCTACTCTGGAACTATTACGTAATGCTGGTATTAAAATATGGATGCTTACTGGTGACAAACTAGAAACTGCTACTTGTATCGCTAAAAGTTCAAGCTTAGTGTCTAGAACGCAAGGTAAGATAAATATATAGTTCTATTTTTTTTATAAATAAATAATATTAACTCAGCTCAGCTCAATCAGAGTATCACTATACTTATTTCATTAAATAAATTATATTAATAAATGGACAGATATATGATAAAAGTACCTAATATCAAATAAATATATTACAATGTTTATTACAATTTTTTTTTATTGGGTTAATGCCTCGACAACTATGATCATTGGCATGGTACAGTCAGGTACCTAGTGTAGTGTGTGTGTGTATGTGTGTAGAGTAATTGTCTTGATACTTAGCAAAGTCGACGTCATTATCTTTGCTAAGAGACGCTAATTGTATCCGAACGTCTGCGGTTCCTCTGGTGAGTACCGATCGCACAAGGATAGAAATTATTTTCATTTATTAATTTTTAATAAACGAAAATTTCCACCCAGATGAGATTCGAACTCACGACCTTTGGATTTAAAGGTAGGCGCTCTTACCACTGAGCCACAGAGGGGGTTATACAAATATTTTAAATAAAATATATTATAAAATTTGTTAAGCGGTTTAGTTCTAAATAAGGCTTTTTTTTTAATTAAATTTTACACAAATATGAAGAGCACTGACCACTTACGAAGAATAAAGGATAGACATAGTAGGGCTATGTATGAAACGGAAAGTAGTAACCCAAAACTGTACTAATTTTACAATTTTACTTTAAATTTCATTTTCGTGAGTAATTGCTATTTTTGTACTACTGTTTGTATAGTGTTCAGTTCTTTTTTTATTTGTTTCTTGAACCTCCTTTGAACACCACCTGTCTCTTTATTTTCACACTTCTTTTCTGACGTTTTTCCAAATATTTCAATAGCAGTATCTTTAATGACACTAGCTATCTTCCTCCAAATTGTATTAGGACTTCCTTTCATGTTCCAACACATTTTTCAACTATTTTTTCTCTGAAGAGACCTTCTGTCTCATCTGTTAACGCCCACCACCTTATTTTTTGTGGTCCTCTCTGATATTTTGGTTTAGTTTGGTTTTTGCATCGTTTTTTCATTTACGAATATTACCTTTCAGTTTCTACATTCACGAAAATCTTTTCTTGTCATGAAATAATTTTCTATTTTCCTATTTGGGAGTGTTTGCCCACTTTTGTATGTAATAATTTGAGTTTCTCTGTTTTGAAAGAATATGTTAACTATCGCCATATCTAATGCTGTTGCTAATTCAAGCAAATCATCTCCAGCTTCATTTCTATTTCCAAAGCGTCCATATATTGCCTTATATCCCTACTTGGATTGGCCCACATGTGCATTAAAATCACCTCCAATTATGACTTTCTCCTCTGATGGAATATCACTCAGTATCCTTATTGATCACTGAAAAGGAGATATCAGTTCTTCACTAATAGTATAAATGAGCTTAAATTGTAGATTTCTCATAAATATTTATTTATAGGTTTGCATATTTTGAAAAAGGTTGTGACAAGATCTGATGCACATTTAGAACTGAACGCCTTTAGGAGGAAACAGGATTGTGCATTGGTTATAAGCGGAGAGAGTTTGGAAGTATGTCTTTCTTACTATCAACCGGAATTTATGGAATTAGCTACGGCAGCACCTGCGGTTGTATGTTGCCGTTGTTCGCCAACACAAAAAGCTCAAGTGGTAAGTTTATATAAAATAAAATAATGTCGGAATTTATTCAGATTACATTTTGTGCTACAATAGTTGTTATACTACCATATTTTAAAACTTTTATTACATTTTAAACATTAAGCAAAACGGTTTTTTATGTTTGCAAAATATAATTAATAAATACGATTCAAATGAGTAAATAAAAAAAGTGTTATAGTAGAAATTGCAAGATGTATGTTACTGGCTAAACTTAATTTCATACTTTTTTAAAATTTCCGCTTGGTTGTATAGTTCATTAAATTGCACATAATTTTGGTACCACGCATTTCAACTTTATTAATACTACTATTAACATTTAATTAAAATAAATTAAAATACTACAATTAAATCGACGAGGAGAGCGTAATTTTCAATGTAACTACATATTTATACTTTGTAAGAGATTAAAACCTTATAGTTTATGCCCTGCTAGGACAGGAAAAAAAACGAAATGCATAATGCGGTGTGATCTTGAATTCAAAGACATATGTGTTTCAAATGTGTTTTACAGGAAGTTCTTAACCCTTTCAGTCACAGTCCCTCTTACGAGGGAACAAAATTATTAAGAATGACAGTACAAGGACAATGTAGTTATTCATTTATTAATGGTAATGCGAACCTAATGTAGCGTTCAATCTGCAAAAATTTGACGCGAATCAAATTCATCCACGGAGTCTAGGTGTGATTGATACATGCATTTGCCTATTTTTGATAATAATTATGCTAGTAGATGCAAGATGGAAAAATGCTCCAAATACTCTTTCACTATGTGTCAAAACAAGGAACACCAGATACATCTTTGTATGTTCAAGGAAAGGAACTGCTTTCATATGTATCATAACGAATAATGACACAACAAAAAAGTTTGAACTTTTTTCTTACAGTTTTACTGAAGCTACATAAATTAACTTTGTCCTTGTAGAAGGACATTCAATAAATCAAAATCCAAAAGGGCTATGACCAAATTGTAATGTTTTAAAATCATCAAAAAAAAAAATAGAAAAAGGCTGGCAAGTTTCAGATTTTTGTTGTTATTATCTCTTGTAGCGTGACTGAAAGGGCTAAAAAAGTAAATTACATATTTGCTTATCTTGGTTTCTAATTAATTGCAAGTTGCAACGGAATATTACATATAACGCAGTGGAAATTTCAACAAAAAGCGTTTTGTCCATATTATAGTCTAATATACCATATTTAAATGTTCAATTTTACTGATATTGAATTTTTCCTGTCTTAGGTTCAACTAATCCAAAAACATACAGGTAAACGTACAGCAGCTGTAGGCGATGGTGGTAACGATGTCAGCATGATCCAACAAGCCGATGCCGGTATTGGTATTGAAGGTAGAGAAGGTAAACAGGCTAGTCTTGCTGGCGACTTCAGCATACCTCAGTTCTCACATCTGGCCCGTCTATTGTTAGTGCACGGAAGAAAATCTTACAAAAGATCAGCTTCCTTGGCTCAGTTTGTGATACATAGAGGATTGATAATTTCTACAATGCAAGCAGTATTCAGCAGTGTATTTTACTTGAGCTCAGTAGCTTTATACCAGGGCTTCCTAATGGTTGGATATGCTACAGTATATACTATGTTCCCTGTAAGTATTATGAGTTTCCATACTATATATATATATATATATATATATATATATATATATATATATATATATATATATATATTATTTTTTGGGTTTTTAGACCGTTGTCTGTAATTATTTCTTCCAGGCAACCTTAGTAAAAGGGATTTAAGTGAACAACAAATGTTAATTTTTGTTTTAGGTATTTAGTTTAGTTCTCGACCAAGATGTTAGTCCTGAGATAGCTTTGACTTATCCGGAATTATATAAAGATCTAGCGAAAGGAAGAAGCTTATCCTATAAAACTTTCTTTATGTGGGTTCTCATCAGTATTTACCAAGGTATGAAAGTTTAATTTTTTTAATGTAATATAAAGATGAACTGTTAACAGATTAGGAATGTCGTTTTGAATGTTTAGTGAAATAAATTTTAAGTGAATTTAACTAGTCAACTATGAATTATCTAACAATGTGCTCGATTGCTTTTCTATTTTTTAATACTGTGATTGTCTCTATAAGTTCTTGAATTTTTATATGATTTTATATAAGAATTGTTCTACAGACATATACCAAGATATGAGAAATATGGAAATACGTGCTAGGCGGAGGAAGGCGATGGATAGGGACGACTGGAAGAGAATTCTTGGGGAGGCTAGGACCCACACAGGGTTGTAAAGCAAAAATGATGATGATGATTGTTCTTCAAAACTAGAGTTATACCAGTTTTTTGCTTCATTAGGATCTTCCCTCTATATTTTCCCATTGTTTTCTTTCTTTTCGTTTATTTTTATTTTTATGCATATTTTACGTTGCTTGCATTTTTGCAAGGTCAGAATTAGAAACGCATTTAATGATGTTGACGTCATTTCATAGTGTAAAGCATCGAGTTAGAATCTACGGAGAGGGCATCACGTGACTAAAAACGACCTCATTTCGGCCATATTGCTAAGAATATTGTTTTGACACTTTTGACAGATCGTATATGTTTGTTTACATTTGTTGTTTTTCAAATATTTCTAATTTTATAATACTTTTATAGAAACTGTAATAATATATTGTGTTAGTGCATAATAATGGTTTCTTGTTCTCAACGTAGTTGCAGTAGTAGAAGCAATGTTAATAAAAAATCGTCAGGAATATCGTTCTACAGGTTAGTATACAAATATGTAAATGAAAGTAATGGCCCATACTTCAGATTTTAAATTAATAGTATTTGACTGTATTAATTTATCTTTATGTATTATATATCGTGTTTTTAGTGTTTACCGCGGGATAAATAAATCATAGTTTATTAAAAATGTATTGCACTTTTTTAGATTATGATTAAATCTTCTGAATAACTAGTCATATTTGTATAGTAGCTTTAATATTATTGCGTCTGACCCTGATCCCACCGCCATATTGGTATTAACGTTAGCCACGCCTACCTACGCCGTTTTTAATACATACGTTTATATGCTCATAGGTTCTCCATAGATTTTAACTCGATGGTGTAAAGTCACAAACCCTTACAAACGTAAGTAGATCCTTTGAAAACCGCCTTCAAGTCTGTGTTGACCTTTTTGGAGCTCATTTCGAACACCTTCTACAATGAAAATAACTTTACTCAATAAATTTATTTACTTTTTATGTTTTTTTTAGGTGTTGCTTTAAGATATTTGTAAATAGTTAAAGTAAATAAAAATAATAAATTTAATTAATGAAATACCACTTTTTCCACTACAATTTAAAATATCTCCAAAACTATTAAGTATACGCATATGAAATACTTTGACTTTAAACATTGTTTACTGTGTCAAAAACATGGGGCATTTAGGTGAAAACTTTCAAACAAGGACAAATCTTAAATTTGTATACGCAACAACATAATTTTAATATGTTGATAGATACAACAAAGTCAAATTTCTATGTGAATCACAACACAAATTGCTTCTTCAACAAGTACAGCGCTGGGTGTTAGCGACAGGACAGTCTGGAAAATTTGCCAGGAAAGATTGGATTATAATGGAGACTTACCCAAAATTCGCAAAAACCCACGTAAACGGACCAATATGAAAACCAATCAGGAATTTACCTACGATGAGAATATGCGGAGCCAATTAAGAAAACTTGTCCACATGGAATTTTTCTTACAGACGATCATACTTCCCATAATCAAAGCTATGGTGGATGCCGTTAGTTTATACGAAAATTTGTCTAAACTTTCCAAAAGTACTCCCGACTATTGTCCCGAGATATAGGCTTAGTTTATGAAAAAATAGGAAAGAAAGCAGTAATGATGGAGCGTCCTTTCTCAGAAAAATACTGAATTATCGATCGCAAGGATATAATATTTTCTATTTGAATGAAAGTTGGGTAAATATCGGATATACAGTAAATAAGGTATGGTCGCATCCAACCATAACCTATAAGGATGCATTTTTAGAAGGCTTCACTACTGTTCTAAAAGATCCAAAATAAAGAGGTCCGAGATTCGTCTTGTTACATGTTGGATCTGATAGATGTTTTGTACCAAATTCAGAATGTGTATTTTTAGCAAAAAAAGATTCAGGACACTATGAACATGACGAAATGAACGACAAGTCTTTTGAAGATTGTTTTGAAAATAAACTAATCGCAAACATCCTGAAGGGAAAGTTATATGTGGAAGTAATGGATAATGCTTCATATCATTCATGCAAACAAAATTTCCCAAGAAGCTCTTGGAACAAACATTAAATTCAAGAATGGTTACGAGAGAAGGATATATTTTTTGAAAATTATTTAAAGACATAACTATTGTAACATTGTGATGTAGGAAACAGTTATGCAGATATATACAAGTATAAGATCGAAAATTTGGCCAAGAAATACGGTGTAGAAGTATTACGATTAAGTTAAGAGTCAAGTTAAACATTACGTTGCTGTCCGAAACACTGATTTTAAAAAAGATCGTGTGCAACAACCCATACATGAAGCGTTTGCAATGTCTCTGCTGAACAGTGGGAAAATTATATACAGCATGCCATCAGAGTTGAAAAAGAAATGTGGATAGCTGACAACTTACAAGAAAATATCCTACCGGTAATTATTCCAGCCAATACCGGCAATTCCAGTGAGGACGATCTTTCCAAAATGGAGTAGAGATGCTAATTTGCTGTTCTTCGTAATATCTTAACTTGTGTTTTCTTTCCAATTTAATTTGGAGTCTAAGAACACGCCAAGAAATTATATTTGTTTTATAAGGAATTAATTATCATATTGTAGATGGTTTGGAGGAAAATATCGTTTTTCTGATAAAATTAACAATGCTTTTATCCGTCGCCAATTTTTTAATACTGTTCAGTGTTTTATTAGTACCTTTTCAGTTTTAGAAATTAGTTTAGATCCACTAATACCCCAATAAAAGATACTTTGGGAAGTATACATTGATATTTTCCTAGCGCCCACAAATATATTTTTTTAATAAATTGTGACGTCCTCTCGTAGGAGTCACTATCCGGGTAGCTTTTGGACAGTCAGAGACAGAGTTCAAAATAAAAATAAGGAAATCGAAAATTCGGCTATAAGTTCGTCTTTCTTTAATAGGTACACCCAACTAACCTTCGACGTTTCCGGAGCGTCTGTCATTTTTGAACTGTGAATCACCCTGTATTTGAATAAAATTTGAAATGTAGTACTGTCTCATGAAAATAAAATTCGGAATTCGGTCGGTATTATTGTTTAAAACGTATTTTTCTGCTCGGGCGCCATTGTGACGTCCTCTCGTAGGAGTCACTATCCGGGTAGCTTTTGGACAGTTAGAGACAGAGTTCAAAAAAAAAATAAAACTTTATTGTCTTCCTTAAATTAAATTGACAAAAATCTTATGTACATATTTACAATTTGGTTTAGTCTTCTCAGTACCTGGCCTATTTATTCAAATTAAGTTTGACCTTGTCATATGAAATTAGTCTTATCGGCAAGCGAGTGTGTATTTGAAATTTTTACGTGAACGTTGTATCGATTTAATAACAGCGGACGATAGATACAAAGAAAGGAAAGGAACTCAACACGTTCCTTAAGTGATTCGGGTTAATAGGACACTCCTCGACAGTCTCAGCACGACTGCTTCAGAGTACGGGTAGTGAAGAGCTCAACACGCTCTTCGGGTAACGGCGGTATGGAACGGAACAACTTGTGAACTCTACACGTCCACAAGCCGGGGTAGGGAAGAAGAGAGCCTTCAGTCAACACCTGTCGATTCTGCCTCTATGAGGAAATGTTGCGGTTTATATAGCGGAGCTTGGTAATTAGTTTTGCCCTTTCTACTGTCGATACACTCCTACTTCATGGGTTGGTTCGCGCGCACGCTGGTTTAACGGTGATGGCTTGGACTCATCGTTACAAAATTCCTGATTTCAGTATCATTACTTTTATTCATTTATCTGTTTGTATTAATTTCTTTACACATTTATATTTTTATTCAAAGGTCTTTTACGGGCATGCAAATTTTCTTGAGTGTCAAGTTGTCATTCTCCTGTAGCCAACCTTCAATTTTGATATATATTAAATCCAAATTTGTTACATTATTTGTTAAATTAAGGGAGTGATAATCGCAACACTCTCGTCATTTAATAGTTGTAACATGTCTGCAGGTATTTCGTCAGAACCAGAAAACTTCCTTTGTTTTGCTTGACCTTTTGAACTTCTGGTATTAGATATGGTGGGATAGTTTCTCGGTTAGATATGATTTCGTAATATATTCTTTGGTCATCTTTAAATAATTCTAATATGTCATTTTCCCATTCGGTAGAGTGCCCTTTAATATTACTTAAAATTATACCACCAGAGTCTTGCAATATATTTTGCCTGTAAATCCTGCTTTTGCCTGTTAACTCAAAGTATAAAGGACTCAAGATGCTACCTTGTGGTAGTCCCAAAGATGTGTAGCGGAAGTTAGATTTATCTCCATTTAATCTAACGTGTACTGCTCGATTATTATAAATTAATGATGTTCCATATTACAGTTTCAGGTATTCCTATTTCCAACATTTTCGCATATAGTATGTGGAGATTAATATTTTTATAAGCCCCTTTTATATATAAAAACAAGGCTCTAACTGCTTTCTTATAAGTAAAGGAACTATAAATGTCCATTAAAGTGGCTGAGGCTTTTTTGTGTGGATTTACCTTTTCTAAAACCATACTGACTTTTTAGTAACAGGTCGTTCTTTTCTAACCAAAATTCCAGACGGTTTTTATTAAGTCTCTCATATGTTTTAAGTATACATTTTTTCATAACCATTAAAGTAAGAACAAGAGAGACGCATGAACTTGGACACAATATAGATAATGCTTCTTCAATAAGATAAAATATGTGGTTTTTGTATTGATCTATTAACAGTTATTGATCTATTAACATTAATATCCTAGTAATACAATTTGATTTTATTTAACATTAGTTTGATAATGTAACATCTCTAAAATTAATTATTGTGTTTTTTAGGTGGTGTAATAATGTACGGCGCTTTACTCTTATTCGAAGACGAATTTATACACATTGTAGCCATCAGTTTTACTTCACTTATATTAACCGAATTAATTATGGTTGCCTTAAATATTAGAACATGGCACTATCTTATGGTATTAGCAGAGCTGTTCTCATTAGGTCTATATGCGCTGTCTCTGATCATACTTCACGATTATTTCGGTAAGTACTTTTTATTATTAATAATCAATATGTGTAAGTTTGTTAAATACTAATCAAGTAATCCCGTCGTATTATTTCTTTCCAGTAATTTATAATATTTAGATGTCTCCCATTGTAAATAGTGTTCATGTAATCATATTGACAATTCGTCAGCACTTTGTTTATCAGCTGAATAATGTCTGTTGTCGTATCCATTGTCGCATAGGCGTCTGCTGTATGTCATACAGCTTAGAGCTGTTGTCGATATAAAGTATGCTCTTTACTGTATCACTTGAAAGATAAACATTCTATCCCATGTAAAATAGAGCGTGTTCACTTCCATTTCCAACGATGTATATTTCAAAGTCATCTAAAATAAATTGCGTTAGGCTTTCACGGCCATCGTCTAACTTATTAAACTGTTTATTCGGGCTGTTGGGCCGTTGTCTTCCGTTGAGATTAGTTCTCGACGTTTCGCCAACACTAGGGGTTGGCATCTTCTGGAGATGTTGATGCTTCGCTTGTAAGCAGAAACTGACGACGCGTTGTACTACGGAGGCAATATTTATAATTCCCACTCGCCTCCCCTCCACTGGTTTCGGCTTGAGGGGGCGTGTCGTTGTTTATAGTAGCTTTTCTATCTCCGTGTTTGGCGGGAAGGGCGTTTGTGGATTTTAATACTGGTATCCATGTTTTGGTGATTTTTAGTCCTTCTTCTATCCTATTGAAATTGTTTGGGTGCTTGTATATTTCCACCGCTTCCCGATATAACCGTGGGTAGTACTGTGAAGTTTTGTCCAGCATCTGTGTTTCTTCAAATAGTATTCGATGTTCTCCGCTTCCCAAAGCGTGTTCGGCAACGGCAGATTTGTCGATATGTCCTAAACGACAATGGCTTTTATGTTCATTTATCCTGGTGTTGGTGTGTCTTTTTGTGGTTCCCACATATACCATTCCACATGTGCATGGTATTCGGTATACTCCGGCCGTTGCTAATGGGTCGCGTTTGTCTTTTACCGATCTTAAACAATCCTTGATCTTCTTTGTAGGTCTGAAGATGGTCTTTATGTTGGCTTTCTTGAGTATTCGCCCAATTCTGTCCGTTACCCCCGATATATAGGGCAAGAACGCTTTCCCTTTACATTCTGTTTCTTCGTCCCTTCTTCTAGATACGTTGTTCATCGCCTTGTGTATTTCTCTTCTGGTGTACCCATTAGAGGTGAGCGCTTTTTCAATATAAAGAAGTTCACTTTGGAGATGTTGTGGTTCACAAATTCTCTTCGCCCTCTCTGCCAAAGTTTTGATGATACCTTGTTTTTGGCTAGGATGATGATTTGAGTTCCTGTTTAGGTATCTGTCTGTGTGTGTAGGTTTTCGATACACTTTATGTCCTAAGTGACCTTCCTTTCGATTTACTAATACATCCAGGAACGCTAGTTGTTGAGCTTTTTCTGTTTCCATCGTAAATTGAATATTTGGATGTAGTGTATTTATATAAGCCAGGAAATCGTTTAGTTTTTCTGCTCCGTGACCCCAAATCACAAAGGTGTCATCAACGTATCTGAACCATACCCTAGGCTTGTATGCTGAGTCCATTATCTTCTTCTCTAAATGCTCCATGAAAAGGTTGGCTACGACCGGGCTTAGTGGGCTTCCCATTGCTACTCCATCCATCTGTTCATAAATTTGGTCTTCCCATGAAAAGTATGTGGTAGTTAGGCAAATACGGTATAATTCCACCATATCCTTGGAAACTAGTCCCTCAATTAAATTCAGAACGTCTTCTAGGGGGACTCTTGTAAATAGGGAAACCACATCAAAACTAACAAGAATGTCAGATTCCTGCAAAGTTATTCCTTTGATCTTCTCAATAAAATGGGCGGAGTCTTTTACAAAGGCATCGTTTTTTCCTATATGTGGTTGTAAAATATCGGCCAGATGTTTTGCAAGGCTGTAAGACGGAGATCCTATGGAGCTCACAATAGGGCGGAGAGGTACATCGTCTTTGTGTATTTTCGGCAAGCCATACAAGCGTGGTGGGACTGCTTCGCTGTTGCATATTCTTGGCTTTATCTCCTCTGGTATGGACGAAGATATATCGGGGGTAACGGACAGAATTGGGCGAATACTCAAGAAAGCCAACATAAAGACCATCTTCAGACCTACAAAGAAGATCAAGGATTGTTTAAGATCGGTAAAAGACAAACGCGACCCATTAGCAACGGCCGGAGTATACCGAATACCATGCACATGTGGAATGGTATATGTGGGAACCACAAAAAGACACACCAACACCAGGATAAATGAACATAAAAGCCATTGTCGTTTAGGACATATCGACAAATCTGCCGTTGCCGAACACGCTTTGGGAAGCGGAGAACATCGAATACTATTTGAAGAAACACAGATGCTGGACAAAACTTCACAGTACTACCCACGGTTATATCGGGAAGCGGTGGAAATATACAAGCACCCAAACAATTTCAATAGGATAGAAGAAGGACTAAAAATCAACAAAACATGGATACCAGTATTAAAATCCACAAACGCCCTTCCCGCCAAACACGGAGATAGAAAAGCTACTATAAACAACGACACGCCCCCTCAAGCCGAAACCAGTGGAGGGGAGGCGAGTGGGAATTATAAATATTGCCTCCGTAGTACAACGCGTCGTCAGTTTCTGCTTACAAGCGAAGCATCAACATCTCCAGAAGATGCCAACCCCTAGTGTTGGCGAAACGTCGAGAACTAATCTCAACAGAAGACAACGGCCCAACAGCCCGAATAAACAGTTTAATAAGTCATCTAAAATATTTTGTGATTTATTATTCAATGTTAAGACTAAAAGTTGCTATAAACATGTGTGCTAATTTGTTTATACTGTATATTAGGATTTGTTTCAAATTGAGGGTTATACATTAATATACAATTCAGGTACAATTAACAAAAACGTTGAGGTAATGATTTATGTAAAAATGTATATTAACCATAATACCTCACAGTAACAAAAATGATTGAATTAAAAATGTTACTTAACAAAAAGAAGATTATTTTAACCGTTCTGTATAGATCACCCAGTACTTGATTAATAACATTTAATAATAATTTAATGTATTACTTAAATAATATCAATAGATCCGATGTTCATATGTTTGTAGGTGATATTAACATAATCTTCTAGAGTGTAATAAAGAATTCGTAGAGGAGTATAAAAGTATCATGAGAGAATATGGATTTATATCATATATAAACGAATTTACACGTCCAGCAAGTAGAACTTGTCTGGATCAATTATTTGTCAAATGTTCTTCAAATTTTGAGAATAACATTTCATCTTATATCTTTAGTTATCATGATATTACTGATCATTCACCCATAGCGCTCAGTACTAATAATTTTAATAACATAAATATAAATGCCACGCTATCCAAAATGTTTAGTATATTAAAGTATATCATCAATTACAAAAAACTAAAGTCAGTTTTGGGACAAGAAAATTGATTTTTTTTAATCTGAAAGAGTAAAAACATGGAATGGCTTATTACAAAATTATATAAACTTAAATACTAACAAAATAAAAATTAAAGAAAAAAATATATAAAAAACCATAGATAATACCAACGTTAGTTAAAATCAATAAATGAAAAAAAAAATTCAAATCGGTAAAAACTCATTCCGATGACAAAAATTTGCAGAACTGGTACAAAATAAATAAAAATATTGTAGCAACATGTTTTTAACAAGCTAAAAAAGCTTATGTAGAAGGGCTAATAAATGCTTACAAAAATATGTCAAAAAACTTGCAGAGATATGTAAATAAGCTCTGTGGAAAAACAACTTCAAAAACAAACATAAAAATTATAAAAACAATAAATGATGAAATACTAACTAATAAAACAAGACATATCAAATGAATTTGTAAACTACTATACCGATTTGGGAAAATGATATGCAGAAATGATTTTTGAACTAACTGAATTTCGAGAAAATATATTGGAAATAAATACTATGTACCTATTTCCAATGACTGAAATTGAGGTTGAAGAAATAATAAAATCCTTAAAAAATCAATAGTCACCAGGACATGATAATATTAGATCTGAAACTTTAAAAGAAATAACAAAACATATTTCAAAACCCTTAATATGAGGGAGGATTTATATAAAACTAGCCTTTGATAGAAAAAACAAGTTTTTTGGAATTAAATCGATTTATTTCTCAACATAGTCCCCTTTTAGCTCGATACACTTAGTAAGACGATGTTCCAATTTTTTTATCCCATCCAAATAGTACTTTTGCTAGAGTTCTTCAAAATAAGCCGAAGTTTCATCGACGACTTCATCATTTGTTGCGAAACGGCGTCCTCCGAATCATTTTTTTAGGTTTGGAAACAGGAAAAAATCACTGGTGGCAAGATCTGGGAAATACGGTGGATGTTCAACCAATCATAGCACAATTTATTGTTGGACCGAACGATAATCGACTTTTTTCATTTCTCCGAAAACACAAAATTTGCTTACTTTTGACGGCTTTAAAAACTAAACTAAATGTTTTTAAAACTTAAAATTTTGACAGACGTCATGTCATGTCTATCAAAGACTAGTTTAATATCAATCTTCGTAAAATAGCCAAAGACTAAAATGTATTTATTTCATCTTCTTTGAAATTTTGTGCTACTCTTGAAGTTTAAACAAACTATGTATTTTTGAACCTTATTTATAATTCATAGTATACAGCAATATTATCATATTATATATCTCATATTTATAAATAAATAATGGATTTTAAAGCAGTATCTTCTTTTCAGATTCCGAATTTATAAGGACGACAGATTTCTTCTGGAAAGTAGTTCTAATAACCCTGATATCATGCCTCCCCTTATACATCCTCAAGTTCTTAAGGAAGAAATTCTCACCTCCCAGTTACAGCAAATTATCATAAGAACACTTCAAATAACGAATATGTGATATATAGAAGCACTATTACTAGTTTTCCATAATAAATATGAAAATGTGATTAGCTTTGTCGCAAAGAAGAAAAACAAGAATAATGTGATAAAGTCGTGACAAAACTTGCACGTTTAAAAGTACCCCGATATCCTGTATAAATTCAAGATGTCTCAAAACTTGTAAGGTTGGTGAAACGAAGTCTTCTATAAAGAATGTTTTGAAACATATGTTATGTAACTGATTAATACTGAATTTACAAAAATGTACAGATTGGGTTTTATCTTTAAGTACTTTATTTGTTTTCCTTATTTACTAATCCAATATATTATGTTTAAAGAATTTTAATAGATGATAAACTATATATTTTTTTTATTTAAAATATGTACACACGCAATAATAGTTTTTTCAAAACTTTTATCCAAGGTGATGAATGGGGCAGTCTAGTGTTTCATTTATGTACTATGTTCTGCATTTAAGTCTTAAATATATCTTATTTATTAACTATACTCTTTTTTTTTAACAAAATTCAAATGTTCGTAATGATTTTTTGTGTAGTTTCAGTTTTTTCACATTCTAGGATTGAATGTGTGGGTTTAACGTTTTTCAAATCGAGATAAAAGTTTATTAAAAATTGTTACACAATTTAATAAAATTGTAAATTTCGGAAAAAGTATTATTAGATTCAGCTGTATAGATTTTATTGTTTGGAAATTAATAAAAGTATAGTCAAACCTACAGAAGAATAAAGTAATTAAAACGTGTATTGTATGAAATGATAATAAAAAACTAAGTAATTAAATGAAAAGCTTAAGGTATGTCTTAGTAGAACGTTAGTATTTCAAGTAATTAATTATTTACAAAAAATATTGCCGATATTTTTGGAAACATGACTAGATCTCCATAAGAGTATATCCGTCTAATTCAAAACCAAATTAACGAGGAACGGAATTGCAATTGGGAGACTCAAGACTCATTCGCAATGTTGTAAATTCTCCATGAAATTACAACTGTACCCCACAAGGTTCACAAACAAGGGCCACCACTACTTTTTACTTCTTACTCGGATCCTGTAATTTGATACCGAATTATCTAGGAGATCAACACCTCTACATGCATAATCATTAATTATATTGAGCTGAAGTATTGAATCTTTCTTTCGTAGCTTCCGATTTTATATTTTAGCTGTAACAATTGGATGAACTCATTGTTGCTGACCACAGTCACAACGGAATTATCGTTCCACCTTGCAACTGATACTTCTGCCCTTTTGTCGAAAGCATGATCAAACTCGCCTCTGTTCTTCTTTCCAAACACTTTTCTACTTTGTAGAGGACACCCTGGTAACATATTCTCTCTCATGGTGCTAGTAAATACAATTCTTTTTTCACCTAGAATGTGGAATAGTAAAGTTGTTGAAAAGAAGTTGTCGAACTCGAAAAGAAGTTGTTGAAAAAAAACATGTTCTGAAGGGTTTTGCATTACACGTCATCATCATCATCATCATCATCTTGGTGCTACAGCCCTTAGAGGGCCTCGACCTTCTCAAGCTTTCTACGCCATTCTGTTCTGTCCCTTGCTTGAATTTTCCAGTTGCCGAATCCGATCTTCTCCTCATCTTGTGCATTACACGTAACAGATCCAAAACTACTTGCATCTCTAATATGTATTGAGATTTCTGTCTTTCTCGATTTTCGCCACCATAAGTAATGAATTGGTATAGATATTCCTCTGAGCTACACAAGTACCAGCCATTTTTCGAAAATGGCTTATAGCTAGAAGTTTTAGAGATTTCTTTGACATTAATGATTGAGTGTCTTGGAAAATAAAATCGACATCATATCATGATAAAACCAATAGAAAAAAAGCTGTGAATATTTTGGTTATTAAATTTCAAGAAGTGAAACCAAATACTACAAAAGAGTTGGTAAAAAAGGAAATGAATAATTTTCAAACATGTTACAAAAGGGAATTAAAATTATTTGGATCTAATCGCAATTCTTCTAATAAATGTACGTGACAGTATGTATGTCTTTTCAACAACCAATCTTTTCACCACCACCTACGTTTCTTGTAATTTTTTTCGTTTATACAAAGAGCAAGAGCCGCTAAAAGTATATCGTTATCTGACATGTCTTTGATTTGATAGTAAAACTCGTACTGCAAAATCGGTACGTGTGTGTGTTCCCATCCGATTTTCAACATTATTGTACTGCAATGCATTCGACAAATTTTGAATTTTTAAATGATTCGATTGCCGGGACGACTTCTTTTGTGTATAGTGTCTCATTTTTACATGGTGTAAGATTTAAATAATAATTATTAAATAATAAAAAAGATGGGCTTCATAAAAAATAAACTTATTACTACCTTTTAAAATAAAAAAATAAACATTTTATGAAAGTTAGTATAAATTAAAGGAATATTATTTTATTTTGAATTTTCTTTCTCTAAGAATATAGGCACGAGATCAAAGAAGCATATATAGTTACGTATTCCCGGTGAAAGACAATCCATAGTTCGTCAAAGGACTCCAATCTAGCTTAGCTATCGATACGTCTGTCGTAAGTATCCATACGTCCTCTATAAGTTAGAACAACTAGGAGTAACCTCCTATGTTTATTACAAAAAGACAAAAGAATACAATTGTAAGACCACTGGCACTGAAGACGAACAGTGTCCAAATATGTACAAAGGAAAATTACTATTTTTTCCTTCTGTGAAGAAGCGAGAGAAGAAGCTGTTAATTCCCTATTCCCACTAAATCGGTAGAACATAGCCATACAAAAATGATTACTATACCTGATGGACATTTTCAGGAAGAACAACACAAGTGATTCGCTCTATGGTCAGAAATGACATGCTATTTTTCGTGAACAACGTTCCTTGCTCATCGAAATTAAGCAAAAGTCCAGATGATCGTATGATCAAATCCGACCAATAGAAAAAGAAAGAAGAAAAAGAGCGGCAATGGGTGCATGCTCTATGGGATGAATTTTTGGCGCGCTGTCTGACGGTGAAGCGGAGGATGTTGATGAATTAAACGGTAAAGAGGAAATTCCGTAATTCGAAATAACACCAAACTTAATCACGAGATGAAGTAAACAAAAAAAGAAGAGGATAAAACTTATACTGAAAAATCTCAACCTTGGAAACCTAAATAGTAGAAAACAAGAATAGATATTACGCCATAACATGCACTAACTATCGACCAACATAGTGGAAAGGTATGTCTGTATATTTCATACTTCAATTTATAATTGTAAATTTTTTCATAATATGCAGTCAAGTGTATGTTACAAATCATAGATAGCTTCTGAATAAGTTCCTACGAAATGATAAATGTATGCGAATGGTTTGAACATCAGCATCGAACAAATCCCCTCTATTGGATTTACCGCACAAATGACCCTGATGGCGGTTTCAGCCATTCATGTTTATGTATACACTTAGGGTAAAAAATAATGGAGCAGCGCGTCAATAGTCAAGCGGCGAGCCTAGCTGCGCTTTATTAAATCAGTCATGGGTTGCGCACATAGTGAGGCATCAAGCAGCTTTGGGTGTCCACCGCGGATGATTCATCTTTAGTGAAAGTGATTATTACTATTTACATTTATCCAATTTTTCATTAATTTCATCAATTTTCAAAATGGGGTTAAACCATCAGCAAGTTGTAAGTGACGGAATAGAAATAATCAGTTCACCCACATTAAAAGAATGTAGGAAAATTTTGAAAACCAAAAAAGCACGACGTCATCGTTGTTGTTGGGTACGGCCATGGATTTAGAGCCGAGAACATTTAGGAGCAACGACGCAATTACTAACTAAATTAACTGGAAAAAATCTAGAGGCTTACCGAAGACATTTGAGAATGACTGAAAATCAGTTTATTTTTTCTCTTGGAGGCCCTTAGTCCTACAATACAGCGGGCCGATAATGTTTCTGCAAAATTGTGACAATGAAAAACATTTTTAAATTGTTAACTTAGACACGTTTGACATAGCAGTAACATTTACTTTGTTTTGTTATTTCAATTGATTAGTTACATCTCATATATTTCAATAAATAATTGTATTATAGCTGGAATAAAGTGTGTTGTGTCAAACATTTTGGAGAGTTCAAGCTCTAAATCTTGATGTTATATTTTTATAGTAGGTAGACATTTCTGTAATTATTGTTTTATTGGTGTATGTATAAAAAGTATTACCCCCTATTATAATATTAGGGACTTATATAGAAAGCCAATAAAGACTCAAAGAACATGTATAGATGTTATAAACCTTTAAACTTTTTTCAATAATGTTCTGAATATATTTACAAGTGTCTAGTGGTAGGTGCACGTCGGAAAATATCGATGGCCTAGAATGAAAAAGTCGTAAGTAGGTTTTTACAAATTATACAGGAGGAACAAAAAACTGGTTATTTTGACCAATAATGGTTTTAATGAAAAACTTTTTGGTACCATATTAGTTTTTAGACTAATACAATGAAATTGATATTAAAAAAATCTTAATGAGTAGGCATTATGGAGAAAACCAAATTTTTTTGGACTTACGACTTTTTCAGATAACAAAATTCTAGAAATTACCTGACTTACGATATTTTCAGATATCAAAATTAAAGAAGCCAGCCTCAACATCACATTAAATACATTTATTAAGAAATTATTACAAAGTTTCAGTACAAAATAAAACTAATAAAATATAATGATTATGTTCTATAGCTTTAGAAAAGAATTTATTTTACTCGTGTGGTAATGAATCATAGAAATTGTGCACCTCTTTTGGAAGGACACGTTTCATTTCTTGCACGTGTCTAAATTTTATAGCTGTAATCTTCGGTTTGTTTTGATATAAAGGTGTGATTCGTTCCAAGTCTTCTACAAGAGGCATTTTAATTCTGCGTGGAATATTAGAATACTCATCTTCATAACTTGTCTTTACCTTTAGCTCCCCATTTGGGCAATATTGAATACATTTTATGTCTGTCACTACAGGATCGCCTGCTTTGTTACCCGGTCTCAGAGACGAGACATAGTTTAAACTACTAAATTTCTTGAAAAAAGTATACTCAAGCCATTCAACATTATATGGTTTCGGTTTAATTCTGGCAGTTCTACATATTTCTATGTAATTACTTGGAGAATAAATTTCTCGGTTCTGCAATTTTCTCTCAATAGTGGCATGCATAGCATCACATTCCATTTGTGTATGGCCCTTCTCTAAAAATTTTTGAGTAATTTTTATTCCTGTTTTGACAGACGCAAGCAAGAATGTATTTGCCAAAATTGAATTCCTATTCTGGTAATTACAACCGTCATTAAAAATTATTATTTCGTTCACGGGTGGTGACAAATCAAGTTTTGTACAGATTAAATGAAATATTATAGAACAGAATTCGTCAGCATTTACTCCTCCTTCACTTTCATCCCACAAAAAACAATATCCTTCAGACGATTTTATATCGAATATTGTAAAATTGTGGACTTTTAGCTTGGTTCTGTAA